TGGTTGACACCTGAAAGTTTGTCTTTCTATCGTTCATTTCATCATTGACATGTATAAAGTGAATGGCTTTCATTTCTTCTCTCGTTTTCTTATCAGAAATTTAAGAAATGATTCGAAGAATTCAGAAGGAATAGTAACAGGAAGTTCTCTCTACGTTGAAGTGTATATGTGCCCATAAATCTATCTACTCTACGCGTCGTTGTTATCCTAATACGAATGAGTTTTCGTGACATCGCGTGACGAGCTGTCTGTCTTCAATGAATGACGTTTCAGAAAATGGACGCGCAACCATATCGTAAATTTCTTTTTACAATTTTTTTTTTTTTTTCAAATTTCATCCACTAATTTTATATCTCCCATTCTTTATATTGTGTATTATAATTATTCAATTAAAATCCCAATTTATTATATATAAAGAAAGCATAATTATATTATTTGATATATGCGATTATCGATTAAAAAATTATGAGATTAAATAGAATAATAGAGAAGGAAATAAAAAAAAAAATTAAATGAAGAATAAAATAACTTCAGTAAAACAAGTTTCAATTATCCCTGATCATTGGCCGCACTTTAATTAATTAAAAAAATTCAAATAAATTACACAACCCTTAAGGAATTATCAAATAATTCTTTAATATAATTATTTTCAGATTACAAATTAAATTAAAATTCGACTTTTCTTAAATATCTCAATTAACAGAACTTTGTTAAGGTGCAATTTTTACCAGAATTTCATCAACTTTCAGAAAATAAGAGATACAAAAAGTTTCCTTTTTCTGTCATAAAAAAAAGGTTTCCTCTTATAAGTCCCTACGATATTGAAAAAGTACTAAATTATTCAATTTCAAAAAAAAAAAAATAATTCTCTTTACAAAAAAAAAGAATTCTATATATATATACTAATATCAATGAAATGAAGGGAATCTTTCAGTGAAGAGACATAGCAAATAGGAATTCAAGATTTCGGACAATGGTTATATATATATAAAAAAAAAGGCGCGAACTATTCATTGATCCAATGAGAATATACGTCATGCTTGATGCTAGCGGAACACCCTATAAATCCCTCAAACGTCTGCTGATGCCCTGGTGCTTCGGGGCGCCTTGCGCCGTCGTGACGGACAGATGTCAGACAAGGAATAAATGCCACTCATAGCTCACGACTAATTTTCAGAATAATTGGTCAGATATTATTGCTAAACACAAAATTATTAGGGTTCTTACTCTGCGGCCCTGATCCATTCTAGTCTTTACGACGTACAATGATGAACGAGTGACGGCAAATCGATATACACACGCGAGAGTGAGAGACCGAGAGAGAGAGAGAGAGAGAACTTTGACCATGAAATGGTAATGATTCAAAATTTCAACCCTTTTTTTCTATTTGAATTTAATATTCAAAATATTCTTAAATATCAAATTTTAAAGAAGAAAACATAAATTATAATAAAAATTACATAATAAATTTTAAAAAATTTTAATTTTTCCACGACCGATAAAGTAGAATTCTACGTTGAATTTTGGATTTTTAAATCTCACGGGTAAAAATATTGATTTTTTTTTCTACTTGAGAGAAAACATCTTTTTATTTATATGCAAAATATTTTAAGAAAAGTTTTAAAAAAAAGGATTAATTTGTTTTTTAATGAAAACAATTTAATTATTCCTTTTTTTATATAATTATATATCCACATTATATTTATTCGATAAAAAAAATTTTCCATTATTTTATATATTTTAACTATATAAATATTTTTAGAGCATAAGTAAAATATATAAACGTTGATATTTATAATTTATCGCTATATTAACTATTTTTCAATGAAACAAAATATAAATTATTAAAATAAAAAAAGAAAATAAAATATAATTGAAAAATGAGTAAAAATTTGTATTTGAATGGAATTAAAAATCTATTTAAAATGCTGTTTGTGAATCCCCTTTTACAGTATATATAGATGAAGTTACACTACGTCACTGAAAATTCACAAAGATTAAACAACATCAAAGGAGGCACTTAAACCGGGCAGAAACATCAAAAAGCTACAACTATCCGGGAAGCATACTAGAAAGGAGATATGTCTATTGGAGCTTTTGGCAGGGGTGGAAGCTTAATTTATTTTATATTCAACAATAGATACAATATATTCGTCTATTTTAATTAAAATTTTAAAAATAAATCAAATCTGTTTTTATATATATACGTTGAAATGTAGACTTCCAACTAGTTTCAAGACGGGAACTGTTTACATTAGTTCAAAAAAATTTTTATTTAAAATAATAAAAATAATTCTCTTATAAAATTATTAAGTTACAAGGGAATAATTTAAAAAATTAAAATTTTTTGCATATATAGTTATAGAGGAAAAAAAACGTATTATTTAAAGTAGTTAATACAATAATTTATTTTATATTTCCTATAGAATCAAATACAAAACAAAAAGGCTAAGAGAATTTAATTTAAAAAAAGTACAAAAAAATACACGATGCCAGTTTAGTGCACTGAAAAAAAATTTATTTGATTCTAGATCCGTTACTGTTATCAGATAAATATTTATACTTGAATCAAATAATTTTTATTTAAACTAATAATTTTTATATTTAAAACAAATACCATTTAATTGACTCAAATAATAATTATTTGATACAAATAAATATATTTAGTCAAATAACAGATTATTTGAATCAAATAATTTTTTTTTCAATGTGGAAAATAAAAATTCCCTTAACCGAACGCGTTTTAAGCATATATTAGAAGAATCGATTATTTACAAAAATGAAGATAAGAAATTTATTATATCTCAAAATGTACATTCACAAAAAAAAATTGTGAATAAATGTATAATCAATCTACATTAAAACTGTAATTAATTTTAATAAAAAAAGAAAGAAAATTTTTATTTATTAACTTTTTGTTTATCAAAAACTGTGGCCTTTTATATTTAATAGACAAGAAATGAGAAAATTTGTTTTGTAAAACAAAAAATAAATTTCTTTATATCTGAATATGTATATGTATAAGATGAAATATGATGGCTTTCATTTTGTGATAACATTTCGATTACGACAACGTCGATTGCGTCGACGCTCGGCATGTTTACAACATCAGGATTCTATGTTCACAGTAGGGGTTAAATGTGTCCTACGAATTTCACGTACGATTTTACGAGGGTGACGTAACGAAGCGCGCGTTCTTTCAGGAAAGCATAATATAAAAGAGGAAAATCATCCCCTCTAGAATATTATTCAGGGGTGGAACATTCATTCATCCCTTTCAACCACCATTTATATATCCTTCATCGTGCCATTTATTCAAAGTGTTTAAAACGTATTTAAAATTCATGTTCCTTTTTCATGAATCTATTATCACGCGGGATCACACTCAGAGAAATGGTATATTTGTCTCCGAGCCTACTAACTCATTTATTTGTTGCAAATATATTTTATTTCATTGAAATAAAAAATTTATTTGAGCCAAAAAAAAATTTATTTCTGACAAATAAAATTTTTATTTACGCCTAATAAATAAGTTAGTAGGCTCTGAGACAAATATACGTTTATTTAATTCAAATATATTTTATTTGGTTCAAATAAATCATTTCTCTGGGTGCAGAAGTAGAAAAATTTAAGTTTTGCAATTTAAACACATTTTCAATTTTTAATTAGTTTCTTTTTTTTCTTTTTTGCTAAACGAAAGAACATATTTTTCTTAACTCAAAAAACATTAGAAGTTGTTTTAATTAAAATTTTTCCATTCATCAATATCAATTCATTCAATTTTTTTCTCATATAGTTATAATCAGGGAAATTTTTTTTATTCGAATCAAAAATAATCTATATATTTGAATTAAATAAGAATATATTTGTCTCAAAATAACTATTTATTTGTTTCAAATAAAATTTATTTCAAACAAATATATATTTATTTAGTTCTGAGATAAATTAATATTTTTTCTTTAAATGTATATATATATAAATTTTATATTCAAATGGACCAAAATTTTTTAATAATATATATATTTGTTAGAAAAATAAATAAATATTAATAAACTAATCAATAAAAAGAATAGAAAATAAATATAATAATGAAACTTATATGCTCTAAGTTAAAGACATTTAACCTTTCCGACGTCACACTTCTTGAGTCTCTATTGGGATTTTATGCCATAGAAGAGTAAATATCTGGTCGACTATTGAAAATTCTTGAGGGTTGATAATAACCCAGTATATTTTCCACTTCTTTATGATCAGGAATTTATACATTTATGTAAATGCACTTCAACATTAAAAACTTTAAATAATATATTTCCTCCAATGAAAGAAAATATTTTATATTTAAAAAAAAAAACACTATGGAACGATAATATTATTTATATATATAAACGAGAATTATGTAAATAAAGTTTTTATAAATAAAAAAAAATATTAAATATAAATAAATATACAAATTTTCTCATCTTCTTTTTCCTCGCTTTTTTCTTTCTCTCTATTTTCAAATTAAACTATATTGTATATAGACCTAAGAAAAATCAATCGGTTATATGTTAATTGAAGGACTGACTAGAACTTCTAATAATCAAAGGGCTTGCAGTACTATTCTGCCTCCGATGAACAGGATTCCATACGATAGTAAAGTTATCTAACAGCGGGGGTGTAATATCAATATAACTATATAGGCGAGCTTTCAGAGGGTGCGAAAATCAATATTACACCTCGTCCAATGGCGTATAAGAAAATTATAACATTTTAAGAATTTCATTATTCTTCTTATTTCTTTCGAAACGCGCAGTTTTGTTTTTGAAAAAAATATTAAAACCCTCATTTTGGATTTATATAAAAATCATTTAATATAATAAATTAAAATAATCCCATAAACTATGAATAAAAAATTGCACGTTCATTCTATATACTGAATCTGTAAATATTTCATTTATCTAAAATTATAAAAAATTAAAAACTAATATTTTATTTTTTAAAGTAAAAAACTCAAAACTCACCAGGAGGGAATCGTTCTCCAATCACTCTTTCTATCCATTGTTGAGCTTCTGCTTCCTGTTCAGGTTCACGTTTACCTGCAACCTAAAAATATTTTCAAAAATTAAAATTTTTAAATATATATTTTACTATTTAATTGTCTATAATAACATTATAAATTATAACTTATTTAAATTTTTACTAATTTTAACCCATTTGGAATTTTTTTTAAATTACATTAATTTTTAACATAATAAAGTTTAATAAATTAAAATTTCACTTATAATTTTAATAGAATTATTGCGAATGAAAAATATAAAATTTTTGTAGGTATTTAATATTCGTATATATAATAATATATATTTAATTAGAGTCTAACTATATTTTTATTTTAAATAATAATTTAAAAAAAATATTTTACTTATTGCAAAAAAATTAATTATTAATAGTAAAATTTTTAAATGTTCTTCAATATTTTTTAATTATTATTTTTTTTGAGGAAATTCAAAAAACATATATACTTTATCAAGGTCTCATGAAATATTATTTCCTATGACGTTATAAAAAAAAGTTGTGTGTTGCGTAAATAAAAAAAAACTTTCTGCTAAAATAACCTAAGAGCGTCATCAAAATTAATTTAATTTTGACGTTTGTCCAACTGATAAATAAAATTCGCTCATCTTTCGAAAAAAAAAATTAAAAACCAAAATTAAATTAATTTTGACGTTTGTCGCTTATTCCACATTTATTAAATATCTAACATATCAATATTTAATTTATTAAATAAAATAAAATAATACGCAACAATTTTTTTTTAATTGTCTGACGACAAAATAACAAATAAAATCTCAAAGATGACCTATTTTAAAAGTTACATTAACAGTTAGAAAATTTTTTTTTACAACAAACATTATTTTGTTGATACCAAATAAAAATGATTTGATTCAAGTAAATATTTATCTGGCTAAAGTAAAAATTTATTTGATAATAGTCAAATAAACGATTATTTGAATCAAATAAATTTTCTTTTCAGTGTAAAAGCTGAAAGATTTTAATTTTTGAATAAATTACCAGTTTCCGTAGAAACTTTCAAAAATTGCCGTAGCCGATGATATTTCACATCGTCTTGGCGGGGTATTGGTAAAAGTTTTCAACTAGCAATAATCGCACCTCGGTAGAACCTCATTGGTTACGATATCGCCACTGCGCAAAGCTGATGAGATCTTCGTTCAGACCTCTATTTATACTCAACTCAAGCCAACTCGCATACGAGAAAGACAAACAAGATAGACATCTAGCGGGAAACTTCAGAACTTTTCCCCCATCTCATTAATGAACATCTGCCGCCAAACAGGACTTCATTCAAATATATATATATACTTTTAACTCAAAGAGACATTTACGCGCACTTAATATTTGTAAGATAAAACTTTCCTTTCGGTCATATTCGATAAATGAGGTATTAGGAAATCATGAACGACAAGTTAAAAACACATTCCGTCATCTGTTTTATCATTTATTAAATCCGATAACTATTTCTGAACGAAAATATAAAATTTTTAATGATTACCTTAATTATTTTTAAATAATTATTATAAATAATATATAATAAAATATAGAAATTCAATATTAATTAAATATTATATTGAATATTTAATATAAAAAAATTAGATAAAAATTATAAAATCTAAATTAATATTTGGTTCTTTTAATTATTTTGCAATTAATATTGACAATGTAAATTAATATAAATTTGTATAGAAAAAATGGAAAGTATTTTATGAACAAGGAAAAAAAATTTGTTGTTGAATACTAACAAATTTACTGTTTGCACGATTAAGCTGGAAATAGTATATCAGGAAAGAAGAAATCTAAACTCAGCGATGTTCTCACAATATAAAATGGCCTGAATCCAGGAATTACAACGTTCGCTTATCGACCTCTTCATTTGGCATTTATCCAGCAAAATTTAGAAATTTTCTTAACTCTTTATTTCTTGCAAAATACATCAACTTGTTTGTTCTTGAATTTCTCCAGGGTTAAATGACAATTTTACAAAACTACTATTCATTCAACGAATCCTTGGGAAAAAATACTATTTTAACTTTTTTTGACCTCATAGCAAGATATTAAAATTATTATTATAAAAAATAATAATAAAAATATGATTAAAAAAAATATTTCTTATTATATTATCAAAAAAAAAATAAAATTATTATGAATAAATAACTCCCTTTTACAAGATTATTTATAAATTATAATTCAAATTCTATTAAATTATTATAATTAACAATATTTGCATAATTGCTATAATGAGAGTAAATAAATAACTATTAATGTATGATGAGAAATATCGCACAGTATATGATTTAAAATTTTGCTTAATGAGCAATAAACGTTTTGCTCTATAAAATTAATCAACTCTTTTATATAATAAATTACAAATATAATCTACATCATATGCATCGGATATTATGACCTATTTTGCAATCTAATTATGAACTAAAAGCAAACGAGGTTTTCCGACTAAATTAATTTTATATACTCCATATGTTTTCAGTTCCTCGAAAGCAAAAGGTTTATTGGGACAATATGCTATTATTATTATTACTGGAATTATTTATTAATGTTATATTATTGTTGTTGAAATAACCACAAAGGACATTTACATAATTATTAAAATGCAAAATATATATATTTTTTCTCAATGAAAAATTATTTATGTGATTATTATTTACAAAATTATGTTTTAATAACTAAATAAATTAAAAGTTTGTTATATTTTTAATTTTGTATTAAACCAAGTCCACTTCTGGGACAAAAGGCTGAAGCTTAATTAAAAAAAAAAAAACTAAATAAATTAAATCTTTTTAAAAAGTTTGCATCTTATTTTAAATAAATTTTTTTGTTTTTCAATTAAATTAACATTTTTTTCACTTCGAATCAAAAGTAAAAGTAAAAATAAAATTCAATTTTTTAGGATGAAGCTTAAAATACAATTTCTTTAAAATAAAATTTAGTTGAACTAGTATTGCGACAGAAGATGTAAATCTTACAGTTTATTGATAGAAAACATATCGAATGCTTTTAGTGTATATAGTTTTAATGGTATATGAATTTATCTTCATCTAATTTAAGTATAGATTAACCATTTTTACAAGCCTTTCAATTTTTTATACGTCAATGTCTCTTTAAGTTTCGTGATATTTATAAAAATTCCGTAAAAAATACATTTGTAAATTATTATTAATATTAAAAAATAAATTGATAAAAAAAATTACACCACTTTTCTGTTATGATATTTCTTCCAGAGACTTGATTTTTTATTCAAATATATTTGATTAAAAATAAATAAATGAAATCCTGCTTTTTTATTAAGGATCCTTAATACCTTAATCCTTAATCCTTACCCTCGAGGGTAGCGGGTCAACATAACCTCAAAAACCAATCAAAATTAAAAAATTGTTTTTAACGCTATCAAAAATATAATAAATATTAATTTTAAACAATTTTTGAAGATCTAGATTTATTAATTTCGAAAAAAATTATTTTCTTCCAAAATAATTTGTCAATAATTATTTTTTTAACATTTAGTTTTTTTTCTTTTAAATCAGACAAAAATTGCAATTTTTAATCAATTTTTATAAACAAAAGCTCATTTTACTCAGTGAAACATTCTCTACAATTGTTACCTTTTTTATATTATAATAAGTATGTTCTTAAAAAGTTATAAACAATTAAAATTTTATTTATTAAATAACTTTTTAAGAACATACTTTATACAATATAAAAAAGGTAACAATTGTAGAGAATATTTCACTGAGTAAAATGAGCTTTTGTTTATAAAAATTGGTTAAAAATTTGCAATTTTTGTCTGATTTAAAAGAAAAAAAAATTAAATGTTAAAAAAATAATTATGAGCTAATTATGAGTAAAATGAGGCTTTTGTTTATAAAAATTGGTTAAAAATTGCAATTTTTGTCTGATTTAAAAGAAAAAAAAATTAAATGTTAAAAAAATAATTATTGACAAAATATTTTGGAAAAAAAATAATTTTTTTCGAAAGTAGTAAATCTAGATCTTCTAAAATTGTTTAAAATTAATATTTATTATATTTTTGATTGGCGTTAAAAACAATTTTTTAATTTTGACTGGTTTTTGAGGTTATGTTGACCCGCCACCCTCTTTAAAAAAAAATTGATCCCTCCTATTCTATGTTTATGTATATTATTAAAGTCCATTAATAATTAATTGAGTGAAATTTTTTGACAATAAATTGAAGCCAACAAATATTTGTTTCAAAAAATATTGTTTTGTATGAAATAGCGTATTCAGAAATTTCGTGAATGAAACAAAAAATGAACCAATTTTACATAAATACAATATTTGGAAAATAATATCTATTTGTGTTATTATTTTGTGCCCTATATATAAATGTAAAGACACATATGATATATATATATATATATATAAGAAAATAGGGTTACACGTGTGACCAAGAGTTTCTCATCAAACAACTCGTAACATTGGCCTCATGTATCTTCCCCTTGAAAAAGTTTAACTAACACGAAAATTCTCGCGGTGTGTCAAGTACTTTGTAATAATTATAGAGTGTCGTTGATGTCGGTGTCTGGAACGGTGCGGGGGTGTGGGAATATCCAATGGGCAAAATGCCAAAAATTTTGGCTACTCTGATGATCATTAGAATTTTGGGAGGGGATGCTACCATATAGCATCGCGACTCACAGTATCTGACTTTAGTCTCTACCTTTATTCTATTCGACAAGATTGTTCAAAAGTTTCTGCTTTTTATTATTTTTCAACACTCATATACATACAAAACAACAACACATCAAAAATGCCGGTACGTTTTATTTTATTCAACAATTTTTAAATTTCGCGCGCGAATTTCAATATATATAATTTGTATAACATTTTATTGTCAATAGTGAAAATAAAATCATTTTCAATTACATATAAATAATTCATGTGTTATTTTTACGAATGTGCAATGTTTGTTTACATTTGGAATACATTATTGCTGTTTGAAAAAAAAAATCCTACTCTTTTTTTTTTTTTTTTTTTTCATATTTTGTTCACTTATTTTTAAATCTAATATTACTACTTATTTATATATTTATTATTTTATTATTTAAATTTCTATTTTAACTTTTTTAAATAATACATTTTATTTATTTTTATTTTGTTTTTTTATTTCCTATCAATATATTTTTATTACGAAATGTTTGTAACCTTTGTTACTATTATTGGCGAAGTTATTAATATATACACTATTGAAAACAAATAAATTATTTTTAGTCTCGAGTCAATAGAAATATAACTAATTTTAAATTTTATAATAAATTTTCTTGTCAAAAATTATGAAATGTAGATATATACAAGTCGAAAATAATTTTCGAACATAAAATATAAGATCAATAAGTTCTTCAGAAAAAAAAAAAAAAAAAAAAAACAAGGGAGAACGATTTTAGGGGGATGACTTTTGTGTTGTCTCTCAAAACTTCCTGAAGACCGGAAATTACAAACTTGCTTTTTCAGCTTCGTTTCCGTTTCACTATATGGTGGCCAATAAAAATTGAGATGAAAACACCAAATGGATAAAAAAAAGAATACTTTCCATTGATACAATTCAGTGATATGACAATTTTTATATATAATTTAAAATATTTCCACCCCTATTTTCTAAACTTAGTATATTACAAAAAAAAAAAATAATAATAATAATGGAAAAAAATAGTAAATAAAAAAAATATTAAAAATGTAATTACTTATTAATAATTTTATTTTTCTATTTTATTTAAATTATTATATTTTTTCTAGAAATTTTAAAATTAGTTTATTGCATAAGATGGCAAGATAAATTAAACTGATCTTTATTTATATTTATATTTTTAAAATATAATCTGTGTGACCTGTTTTCGTAACGTGAAACGGAAACGTTCTAAGTCTATGGTAAATTCCCTAAAGTGCAATGACTCGTAGGCTGAAAGCAATTCATCAACTAAGCTTGTGTCAAAAAGCTTTTCAAATTTCAACATTTTACAAATTGTTAAACATCAGAGAAAATTTTGTAAACATTTAGACGTTCATGGCGTTCAAAAATGCATTGGCACTTTGACAAGTATAAATAATAATTATTAAAAAAATCTATCTAATTCATATATTTCAATTAAAACAAATAACATTGTTTCTAAGTTTTTTTTAGTGAAAAAGTAACATTTCACATAATTATTTTTACAAATAAAATATTTTGTTTCATTTATCTATAATTTCAAATTTTCAAGTTAAAATACAATATTTTCAATGTTTAACAATTTATCGAGGAATTATTAAGATGTTTCAAAAGCAGAGCAAATATTTTCAAATGATCCAATATATATAGTTTATTGTGTTGGGCTTTGGACAGTTGAATACGATATGTGAATTTATGATCATTTTCTCAAAATCACATTGACTAAAAGGGGGAGGGGGGGGGGCTAAAGACGTCAACATAAATTGCGCAAGGATTACCCGTTGATTATTGGCAGCTGAATACGAAGGAAAACTTCATTTCCCAAAATATCGCGGGACTAAATAAAATTGTTGGTGTGTAAATATATTCATGAAGCGTGTAATGTTCAACTTATATACATATATATATATATATATATACATAATCCTTTCATGCAAATCATTTTAGTTTATATACTTAATGCTATAAATACTAATTTATCGTTAACAAGGATGATGCCAGATCCTACTCAACATCATATTTTAATTCTGGCATCAATAAGTATATGATAACATACTCAAATTATTAACAATATTGATCGTTGACCCCATTGATTTCTCATATATTTTTATTCACTATTGGTTCAAATATAATTTATTTAATTCAAATAAAAATTATTTGGTTCAAGTAAATATTTATTTGATAATAGTCAAGTAATTAAGTATTTGAATCAAATAAATTTTTTTTTTTCAGTATAAAAAGAGTTAATTATATCTTAATGTTAAACAAAATAAATGATAAGAAAAATATTTAAGGTAATAATATATAATTTTAAATTAAATATTTAACTGAATGGAAAAATACAAAATCCCTCTCGATATTTTGACAAATTGACTTATTTTTACGAGATCGCGTCAGAAATTGAATATATACACCTAAACTATTTTTAAACTGAACATTTTTAAACGGTCCAAGTTTCAAATGATTCAAATAAAAAACATATAGATACACACGACGTTATTGGATATTAAATATAAAAATTTATTTAAAAAATATACTGCTATTTTTGCAAATTTGTTGTTGCATTTATATAATATAGAATGAGACATTTAATATAGAAAAATAATATTAATATTACCTAAATAATTAAATTTTATTTTATTTTTAGGCCCGTAATAAGGAACAAGAAGCTGAAATTCTAAATTGGATTGAACAAGTTATTGGAGAGAAATTACCAGCTGGAAATTATGACGACGTTCTAAAGGATGGAGTTATTCTCTGCCAACTTGTTAATAAACTTACACCAGGAGCGGTTAAAAAAATTCAAACCAAAGGAACAAATTTTCAACTTATGGAAAACGTTCAAAGGTAAACTAGAATTTTCTATTAAAATTTATATTATTATTATAAATTAAATAAATAGTCATTGTTTGTGTAAACGAAGAATTAAATTGAATTTAAATTTATCAATTTAAAATTGAGTTAATTATTATTGGAATAACAGATTCCAGGCAGCTATTAAAAACTACGGAGTACCACAGGAAGAAATTTTCCAGACCGCCGATCTCTTTGAAAAACGAAACATCCCTCAAGTTACTCTTTGCCTTTTCGCGTTAGCAAGATTGGTAAGTATTTATTATTCTCTTTTAAATATTCATCATACACATAATTTAAAAAATTTTATTGATTAATTAATTGCATTTTAAACTTAAAAAAATTTCGATATGAAAATTTTAGTAAATATTAAATATGAAGATTTTTTAAAATAATAAATTCCAAAAGAAATGTTTTACCAATTTTGGATCATTTTGTTTAATCAATTTTTGTAAAAAAAAAATTGAATTTATTCAAAACTTTATATAATTAAAAAAAAATCAAATAAAAATTACAAATAGTTTAGTAAATAAAAATTAAATATAAAGATATTATAAATTGATAAATTTTTCCAAATAACAAAATTTAATGTATATGATGGAACATTTAAAGTACAAATATTATGGTTTTAAAAGCAAATAATTGGGAGTATTTCAAAAAATATAGTCTATTATATTTTCTATTTCCCGCGAAATTTCTGAAAAGTAAATTTACTTTTCTAAATTTAAATCCACGGAATGTAAATATAATTAAGCATTCGCGGTTTGAATTTATGACGTTTCTTTGTGTACTATATACAAAAATGTATTAAAAATTCCAAAAATAGTAAAATACGCAAATAAAAAAAATTATATATATAAAAAAAAGAAACAAACAATTAATAAAAATAAATGTCAATTTAATTAAATAAATAATTATAATTTATAAATTTTATTTAAATAGACACAAAAACATCCTGAATACAATGGACCAACTCTAGGACCAAAAATGTCCGAGGAGAACAAAAGGACATTTACTGAAGATCAACTTCGTGCCAGTGAAGGTCAAGTGAATTTACAAATGGGTTTCAACAAAGGTGCCAGTCAATCTGGACATGGTGGATTTGGAAATACTCGACACATGTAAATTGTTTAAATTTTCTGAGTTGTGGTTTACAACATAAAAAGAAGAAATTTGTTCAAACCAACTAAACAATATATCGGACTATTCAAACAGAAACTTGATAATTTCAAAATAATTTAAAAAATATTCTTTAAAAGTGAAATGGAAAACATTAATTCTATTTTAAATATAAGAATTTATAATATAAAAACTTAAAATATGCCTAATCCCAAAGAAATTAAAATTAAAATGTTATATAAAAATTACTGCCTATTATAAATTTAATAAACTGAAATAAAATAATATAATTTATATATAAAAAAAAATTTAATATATATATTTATAAACCTTGTTTAATCTACAAAAATCCTAAAGTATAATCAAATTAATTATTATTTACACAAAGTCCAAAATAAAAAAAAATTTTACACCTAAGTTTTAACATTTATATAAACTTTGAAGCACAACTTTGTTATTTAGTTTAATTAAAATATTTACATACTTTCATAAAATATTTATGTACACAAAATATTCTGTTTTTTATGCACATAACGTGCTTAAATAAAATAATTTTTTCAAAAACTTCAAACAACATAAACCTATTTATTTTCCTTATAATACCTATAATTTTTCCTCAAATTATTTTTTTAAATTCAAAAATTATAATTGTTTCTAAAAATTAATATTATAATATTTTAATTTACAATACATGTAACATAACTAAATGCAAAATTGGTGAACTTAAGTAAACTTTGAAAGAAGATTAATTGTCTAGAGGAAATGACTAAGAACATTGCGGATTTTCACTCATAACATTCTCTTATAGAATTACTGAATGGATTCTGAATCACGTCTCTCAATAGAGAAAGAGAGCTCATCCAGAATTAGAAAAGTGTAAGCGAAAAATCTGTGAAAATATCAAGGAGCCCAAAATGACTCACATCTGAAAATAACTGGATTTAAATCTTGCATCAAAAAACTCGTGAATTAAATCACAAAAATAATTTTTGAATTATTATTTTTTATAATATTTAGTTTAATACTCAATAAATATTATTGGAATATATAAAAATTTATTAAAATAATAATAATAATAATATAATTTCCAAAACAATTTAAAAAAAAATTTCAACTAAAAATTCAAAACACAAGGAGAAAAATGAGTTCAAAGTCACAAATTAATAATAGATTTAACCCACATTTGTGAAAAGCATGTGTAAGAAAAAAAATATTATATAAACTCTTTCAAAAAAAATTCTTTCAGTCGAAAAACTACTGTTCTCCTAACTTCTTTAATTTTCGATAGAATTATTTTCATATTCTCAATTCTCAATAATTTTTGCATTTAGAATTTATTCAATTTAACATAAAATCAAATCATCTACTTATCAAATTATTTTGTTTCAGAATATATTATTTTAAATAAATTAATTATTTTTGGAAAAAATTAAGTGTAAAATCTGATTATACTTGGATTTCTCTTACAGAAAATTGCATTAAAATAAGCTATAAAACAATTTTATTTTAATCCAACACAATTATTCTGTTAATAATAATTATTATTACCCAACTGATAATAATAAAAATAAAATATTAATTATTTTAATAGAAATCAAAAAAATGTACAAAAAAATTAATTATCTTCTTTTAAAAAATTAATAAAAATTAAAATATGATTTAAAATATCAAAAATATGAAAAATAATAAATTGTTCGCAATTTCAAAAATCTCATTGAAGTATATCACAGTTCGCTGAACTGAAAAAGACATAAATTATTATTATTCTAAAAAATGACACAACGTGGCGGGAAATCAATGTCAAATATTTGCACCCGAACTTATTTTCCGTAACTTGTAACGTAACACAAAACTTTGCACACGATCCGCTATATCCAAAGGAGTAACGTATTTATGCGTAAACTCTCTCACAACAAGAGGCAGTGAGACCATCACTAACTGTCAAATCAACAACTTGACAAACAAAACAGTCTCCTAAACAATGAACAATGTCAAAAAGAAATAAAAATCATCATTCATCACTAAAAAGGATGAAGAAAACAGATGAAATTAATTCTCGAAAAATAAATGAAATATTACCTGCCAAAGGGGACGTCCAGGCATGATGAATAATTTTTGTTTTTTTTTTTTTTTGTTTTTTGTATAAATTGGACTTGGCACAAGAGAACAAAGAAGAAAATTGAGTCTTCAAAATTTAGTTTATCCACGAAAGTCACTAAAAAAGTGTGCAGCTCAGCGTCTGGTGCTGCGTATATATATTCGTGACAGCTTTTAAAGCGTATTGGTGAATATGGTGGGTGTTTCTATATGTGGCACACACATATAGAAAGCCAAAACAAAATTCTTTAGTAACTGGATAGATACGCGCTTCTCAAAACATTCGGGGGGGAATTTCGCAAAAAAGCAGAGAATAAGCTTTGAGACGCGCGATTGCGTTATTTTGGATTTTAAAAGCAACATCATAATTCCGCGCCATTATAATTTAACGAAAATCTTCGATGAAAACCGAAAATTACCGAATTTAAAGCGCCTAATTCATAAATAAACGCTTAATATCTCTGATTTACCCTTGTTTTTAATTATAATTGAAAAAAAGTAAAATTCGAATAAATTACACAATCATTAGGAATTAGTAGATAATTCTTAAATAATTATTTCCACAGATATTTATACAAATTATGAAAAATATTTTAAAAAATCAATTTTTCTTAAATATTTCAAAAAGAAAAAATTTTAATTCCTTCATTAAGGTGCAAATTTTACCAGAATTTCATCATCAACATTCAAGAAATAAGATACAAAATTTTTTTTTTACATTTCTTTTTTCTGTAATGAAAACAAACTTATAAGTTCGTAAAAATACTAAATTAATTATTTAATTTATTTGGAAAAAAATAATTCCCTTTATAAAAAAGAATTCTACTGAAGAGTTCAATGACATAAAGAGAAAAATCTTTCAATTTCTTTGAAAAGAAATAGTTATACTTCTGTAATTAAAGAAATTTTTGGAAAAAATTAAATAGTATGTTTTTCAAATTATCAGTAGCCATGGCATTTATACTAAGTGGCCCCTGACAATTGAGCAACATATTGTAACGAGTTACTATATTCTCGCTCGAATCATTTCGATGTATCGAATGAACGATACGATATGATTAAAATTACGATTTAAATAACCTAAATTAAGTGTAATTATAAAAAAATTTAAAATACTCACAGAAAAATTATAAGGTATTAAAATAAGCTGCAACGCTTATTATTTTAATCAAATTTTGCTTATTTTAATACCAAAATGGATTAAAATAAACAAAATTGGATTAAAATAATAAGCGTTGCAGCTTATTTTAATGCCTTTTAATTTTCTGTGCTCTTAACATTTTCTCATAATAAATAAAATAGAGTTTTTCACATAAAGGAAATAGCATGACTAATTCTAAAGTATTTCTGTTGAACTTTTAAGTTTATTTCAATATCGTATTTCTTTCAGCAACATAAAATATTAAAAGAGAAATGTCGTAAATCAGTACAAATAAATAAGAGAAAATATATTCTTATTTCAATTTTAAAATGTAAACCTAGAACGTCATAAAAAAGACCACTTGAAAAATGTGATCCTTTCTATAAAAAAAAAGGAACACTAGACACATGTTGACCAGACACGGACTTTTACTATCTTCAATAGAAAAGTCTCGAACATGCTAAACAATAGATGAAATTCTCAAACGGAAATGCTTTGTATAAGAAATCAATAAATAATTAAATAATTCTTTGTAATTTACACATTTGTATGTAAGTGTAAATAATATTGTTAATTAATTAATTAATAATTGACATTCATAATATTATAAATTAATATTGTTATAATTATATTATAATAATATAATTATGGATTGATCATAATAATATTGTGATGATTAATGTTTATTATATTTTAATAAATATTATGTTGTATGATGGGAGAGAATATGTATAATCTCTCTTATGTATGTGTGAATGTATAAGTAACACCTACAACAATGTGATAAGTGTTAGTGAAGTGATACACATATATAGGATTAGCGAATACGCTCCATAGTGAAGCATGCGCACAAACTCAAAATGGACCCAAAGCGGATTGCGACTCCGCTGGACCCAAAAACTCTCTAAGTGAGTTCTAATCTTGACTCTGACTTGAAAGGTTGTTTACTAAACTCCTTAGTCAGCTTGTATTTTATTATATATTCATAAATTTACAGGGTTTTACCTTCGAAGGAAGAACTAATAATTATTCTTCATTGGAACGGGTTTCCCTTCCGTTGTATCGGAAATTAATAATCTTTTATTTGAACCTTACCGCTTCCTTCTTAAAGAATTTAACTAAAGAGAATCCGGCCAATCATATTCCATTTTTAGAGTTGCGTAATAAAAGGTAACTCGGCTTGTAACAAACTTAAAAATTTAATGCAAAACACTAAAGAAAGTAAGTAAATATTTTTAATTAAGATTTTCTAACAATTAATTTTAGAAACTTCTATAATTTTTCTTTATCTAAATATCATGTTGCAAAATTAAATTACACCAAAATTATCTATGCGGCCCATTTCTATGACTGCAAAAAATTATTTATTTTTTAAAACATGTTTCTTGAAATTATTTCTCATTAGGTTAATGATACCTTTTGAAATTTTGCAAAAAGTTATTTTTAAACGAAACAAAATTATTTAATTTTTAAATAAAATATTTCAAAAAGCTTTAAATTTGCATTATATTCCTGAAATTAATATTGCTTAAGTATTTGAAATTATTAAAATTACAAATTGTTGAAACTTTTTAATTTTATCATTAAAAAAATAATTCTAATAATAATTATATAATCATATAAAATTTTATTTTATTAAAATTTAATCGATATTTATTTATTTATTAAAATTTCGAATTTTTTTAAATTATTCCAGATGTACTGATGGAAAAATTTAACTTGAACGAAGACAGCGTTCTAGGTCTCTTCGCAATTGCGTTTAACAATGCAAAAGATTGGGAAGGAGGACGCAAGATGAGGATGAAGTTAGATTTTTAAAGTTCTTTTCTGTTGTGTTACTTTTTTTCGTTTATATATTGTATCCTCTATCATTTCATTTTGTTTGAAAACATAAAAATTTACTAACTAAACTGAAAGGGTTAACAATTTAAATACATCACGTCGGTAACTGAGCGTAGATATTGACCTTATCTATTTACGTACTGACGATACACTGAACTATATTCAAGAAATATGAGAAAAATCTTTTAAAAAATTATGTCTAATGTAAATTGATTTAATAAATAAATACATTTAGTCTTAAAAAAATTCAAATTATTATTAATTTTAGTCATAAAAAAATTAGTAAAATTCTAGAAATAGAATTTGGTGAAAATTTTCGAAGGTAGCGTGGCCGAGCGGTCTAAGGCGCTGGTTTAAGGCACCAGTCTCTTCGGAGGCGTGGGTTCGAATCCCACCGCTGCCATTTCTTTTTTATTTTATTATTATAACGATTTTATCGAATTTAATTTTTACCCGCAACAGGTATTACCTGGCGAATTTACCACACGCAGATGATAGAACTTGGAATACTGCGTCGGCACGCGGTACCGTGGTTAAATGTTATCAGTAACACATGATTCTACAAGAGCTCTTCTTTTATATATATATATTACTTATATAAGTATATTATTTGTATAATAATAAACAATATTGCACTAAAAATGTGAATAAAAACTTTAAATTTTTAAATTTAAATTAACTTATTTACACATACACATCGGTGAATGTTATTCAATATTAAAAATTCAATTCTAAAAATTATAAAACTGATTTTGTATTAACATATAGTTTAAACATTTTTTTTTTACACACAACTATACCATGAAACTATATTATATCACAAGAAAAAATATTAATTTCATTCAACAAAAGTATATAAATTACTATAGTTTGAAAAAAATTTTTACAATGGCTGCGATTTATATAAATATCAAAAAAGCTATTAAATGAACTTTTGTAAAATACATGTGTTCCTGATTCTTAATAATTATTGCTATATTGTAACAAACTTTTCAAATTGTTGGAACAATTTAAATTTAACAAAAAAAAAACTTGCGTAACTTCACGAAATTTGTTTAAAAAATAAAGAAGATTTATGAACTTTTTTTTGGTCAAGTAATATAATAAATATTTAACTATTTATTTATACATTTGTAAAAAAAAATTGAAAAAAATTTATTTGATTCAAATAATCGATTACTATTATCAAATAAACACTTTTATATCTCAGCCAAACAACCATATTTATTTAAATAAAAAAATTTAGGAACAATACTATTTTATTCAAATATATTTGACTAAGTTAATAATTAATTTTACAAATAAATATTTATTTGATAATATTCGAGTATTACTTTTAAATCAAATACATATTTTCTTCAGTGTAACGCATTTTTATTTTAAAGAATAAAAGAGTTTTGCTGTACAAAAATATCTTTATAAAGTGTTTGTTTTTTAAGAATCAAATATATAAGTCCTTAAGATTATTTTTGTCTTTTCACTATCATTTAAATAGGTCCTATTGTTTATAAAGTTTATAAAATTTTTATTAAAAAAAAAAAAAAAAATGATTGTAGACGAAATTATACTCACATTTGTAGAAGATCCTTAAATCCATTGTTTGTCCATAAGAAGGCTCGCTTGGAAAAAGGGTTAATTATCCCGACGGCCCTGAAATCTATACCTGCAGACAAAAAAGAAACGATAAAACCGCAGTATTCAAAGGATCAAACATGCTCCAGTTTCACCTAATATCCTGATAAAAGTTTCATTCAAAAGATGCCTCCCCGAGCCACGCCCCTGAATATTTAAGTTCAATTCAGAAAATCAAAATTCCTTTGCATTAAAAAAAAAATATAAATAATAATAATTTATTATTAAAATTACTATAATAGAATTTTATTTTTGAAATTATTTACTTTTTGTTTTCTATTTCAAAAACTGATGAATAATAATATAGTTTACTTAGTTTTTATATTATATACTTATATATATATGTATTTCAAAAGTATCTAGGATTCTACGAATTTATAGATAAGTTTCAATGAGCCCATATGAACGTTCAAGTACCAGGGAAGTAGAAAGTTAATCGTTTCTCCTCTCACGCAGTATGAACGACTCGCGCTTATTTTACCCCTCCTTGTAGCAGGAATTCAAAAAGTGCCTGATAAAAGTGAAAATTATTTACGTTAAACATAAATGATTGAAAATCTATTTTTAACAAAAATAATTATCCTAAGTATATTAATATTAATTTTTTTACTTACTGTCATAACACATACCACGTTTATTTCCTAATTAAATTCACTATCGTTCACTATACATATATTCACTTATAATTGAAACTAATAACACTGCACTTCAATATTGAAACACTAAAACTTCTTAAAACTAAATGTGGCAATAAGAAGAAAATCCCCTAGTGACAAAGTGAATAAAATTATATTAAAAGCCAAACATTCGAAAATAATTGACTTTTAATAGAAGAAAAAACTTTCACAAGTACCTTTTTCCTGAAAGAAAAAATTGTTAATACCCTAAACTAAATATTCTTTAATCATAAATTTGTTACTTTTATGAAACATTTTAAAACAATTAATAAATATAATTTTACAAAAAAGAAGAAGAATAAAACAATAAAAGAATAGTAAATTATCAAATATTAAAAAATTTTGAAACTATATTTTAAATATTTAATTTAGATAATTATAATTGCTTTCTACTTTTCTTGGTATATAACGAGTTTCAATAATAAAATAAATTCACGTGTACCAAGAAAAATAATACCTATAACTCTAAGAAACACATAAATATACAGATTCACTTTTTAATTGAAAAAATATATAAAAATTTAATTTTTATACTAATTCAATTCACTAGGAAATTTTCTAAATATGTTACAACTTGTCTCCGCCACTATTTTGGAGGCAAGAGGGACTTACCAATCGCGGATTATCTTCGTCGACGCGATATAATTATGTGTTGCTCCTTCAGCTCCTTATCCTCCTGGACCAATTTGTGAAAAAACGGTGAATCCTCAGTTGAAAAATAGAGATTTTTCCATAGTTGTCCAAAGCAGTGTTGAAGAGATGAAAAATGCACTTGTTTCACTTTGTCGATTTTTTATATTTTTCTGCGTACTTCAAGATAAAATTCACAATAAGCCATCGAGAATAGAATCTGCAAAAAGAAAAATTTATTATTTATTATTTTAAACTATTTTAAAAATAAAATAATTATTGAATCAGTAAATGAATAAGTATATTTTTATTAAATTGCAATTAAATTAATATTCTACATTTATATACTGAAACCAATAAATTCACAGAAAGAACAAAGAAGTAAAATCTGTTTATCCTTGATTTTTTAAATATTAAGTTTGTAAATTTTTCTTTAAATAAAAATACATTTTTTTTAAAGATGATAGAATATTTGTACCAATTTATGAAAATTTTAATTTTATATTAATTAATATCAAAATTTATATATTTATATTGCAAAAATTATTTTATTATACAGTAATTAAATACTTACAATTTTCATGAATTCTCTCCAACGAAGACAACCAAAGCCAGATAATAATCTTCAACACATTCGTCTCCGAAGATCCCTCCTCTTGGTTAAATTAAAAAATTTAATGGATTAAAAATTTTGAAAATAACCTTTTTTCAAGGAGACCGGGTCTTAATGTCTCGAATTTCTCTTCTTGGCTATAGGATGCTGGAGATGATCTGAAAAAGAGAAATTTAATCATTGAATCATTAATTTATGAAAAAGATCTTTAAAAAATAAAGAGGCAAAATTTATTTACTTTCAATAATTTAAAAAATTGTCGTTATCTTGAAAAAATGTCATTAAAAATAATTTCAATGATTATAAAAAAAAAATTATAACCTCTAAATTTTGTCACGAATATTAACCAACTAGATAGAAAGTTTTTAAAATAATATTGTCCTGGGCCTTAAGAAACAGATAAAAACAAACATTTTTTTCAGAAACTTACCATATTCAGGAAAAAAATGTAGAAAATATTAACCAACGACACAGACTTTCCAAACATTTCAACAGACAACAGAATAACGAGTGGTATAGACATGCACTGATTGGCGGAATAGCATTGTTAGCGGGAAAATAAAATGCCTTGTGCTACCGTCTTACGTTAGTTTATAGAACTAGTAACTCTTTCTCCCTTCATTATCGACTGTAAGTTTAATTTTTATTGGTCGTCTGAAAAAAGCGGAAAAATGTTTGAACTTTAAAATATTTTAAATATAATTGAATTTTTATTTACTATATATCAGAGTAATGAAAAAATTAATTTTACATTAAAAAAAAACTAATAGTTTATAATTTTTCCAAAAAAAGTGAAATTTAAATGTAATTAGATAAAAAATTAAATTAAAAATGATTCTTTGCTTAGAAACAAAATTATAAGATAAAATAAATTTCTTATTAATTTTTTAAAAAATAATTTAAGACATACAATACTTTATGTGTATTAAAAAAAAGCCCTGAAATGTAAATACATACTATAAGTCCACCTGCTAATTAAATAAATTTAATTTAATGACTTAATCATCAGTCACTGTGGAACTTTATACAATTTTGTCCAGCTACATTAATTGGGAAAGGATAAGAACAGGACGAACTTACCAGCCACAAAATTTCGGCACATATCAACTAATATCATCAGGAATCTTTTTCTAGATCCCCCTTCTTTTTTTTCCACTCCTAAAAAAAGCAAGCATATTAATACCTAATTTTTTAATAAAGCAAAAATGAACCAATTTGTAAAAGTATAATAAAATAATATATGTAAATTAGACATATTTTTAATAAATTTCAACAGTAAAATCAATTTATAAATTTTAATCACTAATTTTTTTGCAAAATTAAAACAAGAGCCATCTAACTAAAATAGGATGAACCAACTTCATAGTAGTTCATTTTATTACCGCCAGATGGCTTGTATGACGTCATATTGCAATTGCAAAATTTTGCCAAAATCTTTTTTTATTTTTGATTATTATTTTACGAAATATTATTATTTTATGTAAAAACAATCTGAATTATGAAAAAATGTTGATAGCCAATGCTAATGTATACTGGATTCTATGTGATTTAATTTTGCCAAAGACGCCATGCATTGGCGATTTGACATGAATATTTAACCAAAAATATAGCTATTTTCTACTATTTCTTATTAAACTTTCACAAAAAAATGAATATTGATACAAAAGAGAACTTAATTACTGCAAAATATTTATAATTAAAATTATGATTAATACGAAACTACCAGAATTAAAGTTATCCTTATACGCAACACTCTTTCTGATTCTATCGTCGCCATGACAGTGAATAGTAATGCCAACCCACAAGCATCAACTACTCAACTAAAGTTTCCAGTTCTACCAACATGAAATTAATGAAATTTAAATTCCGTATTATAAATAATGTTTTAAATTACATATTAGAATTAATTAATTATTATTAAATGAAATAAAAATTATTAAAAGTAAAAATAAATCTGTAAAATTAAAAAAATATATATATTTAATTTATCGATAGTAAAATGCAACGTTTTGATTGGCTAAATAGAATAACAGGGCGTTGTGTGAGCACCTTTAATTATATTGTCAAGTTTTGTTTACGTGGCTTGCAAAAATAGATAATTTTTAAAGCAAAACAAACTAAATGTTTTATACAAATATACAGTAAACCATTAATTCAAAGAATTAACTAAAATGGGTAAGTAAATAAAAAAGTTAATGTAAACCACAGGAAACAATTAAATATTATTGGACATTAATTCTATTTAACTTAACCTTAAAAATGATACCGGCTTTTCTATTTGTTTATAATTATTCAAATTTATAATAGATAAAATTATTAAATTGACATTAACATTAAAAAAAATTTTTTAGATGCAATTTATTATTTTAAACTGTAAAATTTATAAGTATTTGAAATTAATTTTTTGTTAAATATTTAGCGTATTATTAATATTCTACTCTTTTTTTCTTATAATAGCTGTAACCAGCGGAGTGTCTTTTGCATTATCTGCAATAATTACAGTACTTCTTTTTTCTGGAATGCAAATGTACAAAAACTGGCTTTCATCTACTCAGCTCCACACAGTTTTTGGAGGTTATATAGGTTCATTAGTTTTTATATTTTCACTGACAGCACTTGGAAATTTGGAAACTATTATGTTCGGAAAATCCTTTCAAATGAAACTTTTTCCCGAAGGTTTGTAGTTATTTTAACTTGTAAGAAATATATTTTTCATTATTATAATTCTTTTTATAGAGAAATATTTCTCTAAAAGCAAACTAATTTCTATTCAAAACTAAATTTGTATTTTTCTCCACTTGAATTTATTTACCATAGAACTATTTTATATCTAATTATTAAATGTTATGGCAAAAATTTTGCTTTTATATATTTATAAATTATGTTTTATACGATGTTAATAATTTCTTTATACTTAATTTTTATTCCAGTTTTCATTTCCTTAATAACATCTCTAATTGCATCCGGATTGGTGCATAGAGTTTCAACTACAACATGCTTCCTCTTTTCCATAGTTGCACTTTACTATATTAATCGGATTTCTCAACAAACATATTCGACGGCTGCACCGACAGTTCCTGTACATACAAAAAAGAAGAAATAAAAATGAAATTTACACAATTCGCGGAGAACACAAAAAAAAATCTAATTTTTCTATAGTCTACTTACAAGGCAAATATTAATTAAAATATTCCGAAGTAATTTAAATGTGGTGAAACACAAAGATATTGGAGGTATGTTATTGGTTATATTTCACTTCATGAAAAATATAATTTTTTTTTTGTAACAGGAGGACTGATTAATAAAGAGATTTATTTAAAATACAGACTACAATTTCTCAGGAGTCCGTTCATTCTTTTTTTTATGTTTATCGGCTTCTTCCTTGTCGCTAAAATATTCATAATTATCGTCCGATGATTCAATTCCAACTGGAACTTTACTTTCGGGTCCATTTGTTATTTGTGTTGGATTTTGGGGATTCTGAGGTTTTTGATTTATCACATGTTTATATATTGTCAATGCCTAAAAAATATTAAATTGGTAAATTTTATTTTTTTATCTAGATTTAATTAATATATAATGATTTTATTTTTTTTTAATATTTTATCTTACCTGTCCTACGAAATTTGATACATCACCAACATTGCTTGGTAAAATTAATGTATTATTTGTTCTTGCAAGCTTATCGAAGGCATGAACATATTGTTCTGCAATTGTCAATGCAGCTGCATCTTTGCCATCTTTATATCCTAAAGAATTTGCGATAATTTCTAATCCTTTTGCTCGTGATTGAGCCAATGCGAGAATAGCTGCAGCTTCACCGTCTGCTTTATTAATTTGCTCCTGTTTGTGTGCCTCTGAATAATTCCATTTGAAAAAAAAAAAATTAATTAATATATAGGAAATTAAATTATTCATTCTAAATTATAGATATCGTTAAAGAATTATTAAATAATTATTTATGATTGCTTTTTTTTACCAGAAACAAGAATTCTTGATTTTCTTTGACCCTCAGCAATGTTGATTTCAGCTTGTCTGACTCCTTCAGATTCTAAAATTGCTGCTCTTTTCTTTCTCTCGGCTTCAACTTGCATTTGCATTGCATCCCGAATTCTGGTAGGTAATCTAATGTCACCTGAATAAAAAAAATGATAATAAATAAAATAAATTTAATTATATATTGTGTTTTAAAAAATAGATATATACTAACGAATTTCATATCTTAAACAAGTAATTCCCCATGCTTGACTGGCTTTATTAATATTTTCAACTATATTCACATTAAGTCCTTCTCTTTCTTGAAAAACTCTATCCAAAGATATTTTTCCTAATTCTGATCTCATAGTTGTTTGTGCTATTTGTATTATCGCAAATTCAGGATCTTCGACCCCGTATGAAGCCAAAAATGGATCATTCACTCTTAAATATAAAATTCCATCGATGTCCAGTTCAACATTATCTAATAATTAAGATATATAGTTAATAACACAATATTAAAAATAACAATAAATATTATTTTATGTTAAAATGTAATGCGAAAAAAATAAATATTCTTTACCTGACGTCACAGCACTTTGTTTAGGAATATCAATAGCCAATTCTTTCAAACTTTGAACGTATTTTACTCTATCAACAATTGGCATCAATAAATTAAAACCAGGTTCCAAAATTTTGAAAAATTTACCCATTCGCTCAACAATCCATGCCTGCAAATTAATAATTCATGAGTATCATTTGAAAATCAATTTAAATATTATATAAAAACGTTCAATGCGAAAAAAAATTAAAAACGTAATAATTAAAAGTTCTCTAAATTATTTAAATGAATAATTAGGGTAAATACAAATAATATAACAGTAAAAGTAAGACAAGTTATGAATAAAATTCTAAAATTAAGTAAATGATACAATGTGTAATAACAAACCTCTTGTTGAGGAACAAATATAACAACAGTATTTAATGGAGTGTTGCTTTTGTGTCTAGCTTGAAAACTATAAACAGATTGTGGATTTGCCAATGATGCAAAAAATCCATTTTCTCCAATAGCCGCTGAATTCTAGAGATGATAAATGATTTAAAAAACATGTGTTTATAGGTTATGTTATCATTAAAAGTTGAAAATACAATAAAAAAATGTATTTAAATATATTTACCCTTAACACATTTAAATTGCGGGCTAATAATCTCGATCTATTAATCATTTTATTTGTTTATAGTCACACAGAACAAAATTTTTAAAACAATTGTTTATATCTCTCAGCACTTTACACAACTACACACAACTTTTTCTAGGCGGCAATTGCTGTGATAAGATCTATTTCTCTTATACCAAAATTTTTATATGTCACGTCATAGATTTTTAGTGACTTATTTCCGTTGGTTCTGAGTGAACGAACCAATAAGGCTGGATTCTCAATTTAAATTTCGCTTAAAAAGCGAACATTGAATTTTACTTATTATTTAATTTAAGTAAATTTACGGTGGGATTATTTGAATAATATTAAACTCAATATTTGATTGGAAAAACCCCTTTTGGGTAAAAAACCAATTTTATTTTATATTAAATATGACATTTTGAATAATATAACTTAATTACTTACAAATTGTAGAGATACAGTTTACGTCGAAATATAAATTGCTGGAATTTTCGCACGTTGTAAATTGTAATTAAATGTAGAAATTTATTCTTGAAATATCCGTAGAAGTTGAATTTTAATTTGATTAACAATTATTTTAAAAAATTTCAAAATTAGATAGAAATTGAAAATTATCTCAAATCGTATTTTACAATCATCATTCGTTGAGATTTAATGTGAATTCGAGAAAAAAATTCAAATTTAGAACACATCGATGACGCCATCTATCATGTTGCGCATGCGTGTGATATTGGACTATTTCGCAACCTTCGCAACTAATCTCTGTATATCTTATATATATGTTTATTATTGTTGACAATGTCGAAAGAAAATAAAGCCGCTTTAAAGGAAGCACGTGAATTATTTAAAGAAAATAAATTTTCTGAAACTATCAAATTATGTAAGAAAATATTAAAAGAAGAAAAAACAAATTATGGAGCATTGGTATTACTTGCTGCTGCAATGCGAGATACTGAAAATCTTAAATCACAAACTCCTGTACCACTTAAAAAAGCAGTTGAAATACATCCTGATAATCCTATAGCTTGGCAAGGACTTGTTGTATTTTATGAAAAAGAAGAAGACATACCTCAAACATGGTTGGAATTAATACCAGTTTATTGTAAACTTTTGAAATTAGAAAGGTATGATTTTTATAATTATAAAAATATAAACTTGATGTTAATAGGAATTTTCATTTTAGCAATCCAATAAAGATTACTCATTACTTAAGTAGTCTGGAGAGAATTTTATTACAATTAAAAGATGATAAAATTCTTGGCAAAGTAATTAAGGAATTATGTGAATCACGCGATTTACTTCAGGATCAGAATTTGATAAAACAAATTAATTTGACTCTTGTATCAATTCTTACACAATATTCTAAATTACCTTATGAATATGAGTCGATTCTTGAAAGTATTTTACATTCAATAATTAAAGATGGAGATATTTCAATTAAACACGAATATTATAAAAAATATTTGCGAGTTCTTTATAAGCTTGATAAACTATCATTGTTATTAATTGAAGCAGCAAAAATGCACGAATTTTTTACTGAGGACATTTATCCTTTAGGTATTATTAATAATTGTTTACTTGTTTTATAAATTATTCACCAAAATGGCTAATATTATTTCTTTATTTAGAATGGATTTGTCGAGTTTATTCAGAGCAAAGTATTTCAAATGATCATTGCGATGGAATTGAGATAACACCATTTTATGAAGCATTACTTGCACTTCATGCAGAATCTGATCTTGCATTTTTAGCAAAAGCCGTTTATCTTTTTAATAATGGTAGTCTTTTAGAATCAAGAAATATTCTCAACTATGTAGTTGCTTCAAAATCAAAATGGATTCATTCATGGGTTCTGTTAAGTGAGATAAATAAAAAACTTTGTTGTTGGGAGGAGGCTGAAAATGCCGCTGTTCATGCACAGAAAATTTTACATGACAACAATCATATTAATCTTCAAAATAGAATTAATTTCATTTTATTAGAAGCATTAATTAACAGTACCAGTAAACACAAATGGGAAGAAGCATTACAAAGATATAATCAAGTAGGAAATACATTTTTTTAAATTCATGTTTTTTTTTGCAAATTATAATAAAAATTCGTATTTTTTGTTATAGTTGGTACCGGAAAATTCTTCAAAACGTGAATTACTTATTGCTCGAGCTTATGTGAATTTACATGATTCTAAAGCGGAAATAATATTTGATGAATTGGAAAAATATTCAGAATTAAAAATTGAAGTTGCTGTATTAAGGGCAATTTATTTGAAAAATTGTCACAATTTAGAAGAGGCTGCCGATGTTGTTGGTTCTGTTTTAAAATCACCTGAAGCATGGTTAACATTGGGTAAAATACATTGGGAAATGTCAGATTTTAGTCATAGTTTAATGGCATTTTTAAAGGGAATTCATGCCGATCCTTATAATTGGGAATGTTTTGTTTATTTGGGTCATTATTATATTGAACATGGAAATGATATTGAACGAGCTAAAAAATGTTATCAAAAGGCATTATTAATTAATCCCGATTCAGATCAAGCTGGTATTGGTTTGAGTACTGCGTATCGTCTTTTAAAAAGTAGTGTGAGTTCAGTTTTTTATTTCCTTTTTTTTTTTGTTTTTTAATTTTTGTAATTATTGACAAATTTTATCTCTGTATAGGACGCTAATGTGCAACTATTGCAAAAATTAACATCACAAGGTAATGGACCAAAATGGGCATGGCTTCAATTGGGTTTACAATTATTGGAACGTAATGATGTTTCACAAGCAATTCAAGCTTTACGAAGTGCCATTAAAATTGATCCAAGTGATAAGTAAACATTTTTAAATTTATAGAATGTTTTATCTTTTTTTTTTTTTCTATTAATAAATTTTTTTTTACAGTCACTCATGGGAATGTTTAGCAGACGCTTATTTGGCACGAGGAGCTTATACTTGTGCATTGAGATCTTATCAACGTGCTTTTCAATTAAATTCCGAAACGTTTTATCCACTTATTCAACTTGCGAACATTAAATTGGTTAGTATTTTTAGTTTAGAGATTCTTGTAATGTTTCGAACCTCCTAAAAAATTTTTTTTTTTTTTAATTCCATTATTTTTGTTTAAAAAACAAAAAAGAATGACCCTGTATATATTTTTTAATTAGATGATAGGCCAGTATACAGAAGCGAAAGAAAATTTCACTAAAGTTTTAGTTGATAATAAAAATAATTTACCAGCATTGAAAGGATTAGCTGAAACATATTTATGTCTCGCTAAAGAAAATGTGAAAAATCAACAATTTGTCCGTGCAAGAGATAATATTCAAGAGGTCGTGAATTATTTAATAGAAGCAGCAATTGTGGGAAGTGATTTTTCTTGTATATGGAAATTATTAGCTGATGCATGTTATATTGTTGCAGTTATGCCGGATAAATATAGTTATTTAAATGTTCCATCAGAAATTATGAAATTAACAAATTCCAAGGAGAATGTAATTTTAATTAAAAAAGAGGAAATATTTTTATTAGCAATCAGGTAATTAAAATTTTGATCAAATTTTAAAATTTTTTAATTTTTTTTTTCTCAATAAGTTTCTAAAATTACAGATGTTATTGTCGAGCATTACATTTGTCAAAAGATTCATCTCTACTTTGGCATGATTTAGCTCGTTGTTATCATGCACAACTTTCTTTAAATAATTTAACAGATTCAAAAAAAATTGCCATGAAAAGTTTTGAGGCAGCAAAACAAGCAATTCGACTTTCTCCATCGTCGTGGATTCATTGGAATCTTCTTGGTGTGATTTGTATGGTTGAGGAAATTAAAAATTATGCATTGGCTCAACATTGTTTTGTCATTGCAATCGATAAGGAATCAAATAATGCAATTTCATGGACAAATTTGGGATCATTATATTTACATTTAGGTATTTATATTTATATTGAAAAATAAATTTAATTTATAAAATAATTAATGTAATGTTAAAAAAACAAATTGTTTTGCCCATTAGGAGATTTTTATAAAGCAAATGAGGCATTTTCATGGGCTCAAAGAGCGGATCCATCTTATGCAAATAGTTGGATTGGTCAAGGAATAATTGCAGAAAAATTAGCGAGAAAAGAAGCAATGGATTTATTTAGACACGCTACACAACTTGGTTATCATAGTCAAGCAGCAATTGGATATTGTCATTGGGTATTGACAACACTTTTAGATCCGGAGGCAAAAAAAGATGATTTATACATTTATAGTATTCAAAATATGCACGCTGTTTCTGTAGCATTGGATGAAATTTGTCGTTATATTAGTGAGTGTATTCAATAATTTTGAAAGATAAATCAGCAGATTGTGAAATTTATTATTTTATTTTTCAAATAGATCATTTTCCAAATGATGCTTATGCACGTAATGCCAATGGACTTCTTTTAGAACGACAAAAACTTTATCGTTCTTCAACTGATGAATTTTTAGCATCTTTAGAATATGTTTCAAATGATTCGGAAAAAGATGCCGTACTAGTGAATTTATCACGAATAATGATAGTACTTGGAAAATATATTGATGCTATTGAAATTAATCAAAAAATTAAGACAGCAACTTTCAAGTCACATTGTCAGTTGGCTTTAGCATTATTTAAAGGTATTTTTTAATTTTAATTTTTAATTCTTATTTAATTTGAATTATTTTTTCTTATTTGAAATATTTTTTTTTTAGCGGAACGTTACGAAGAATCTTATTCATCTTATGAAGTTGTTCTCCAGTGGTTTGCAAACACTGGATCTGATAAAGCACATATTTTATGTGCGATGGCAGCAATGGCCAGTATGTTCCAAGGAATTGACGATGTTAAAACTCTACTCTTTCAGTGTATTGAAATTCAACCGCCAATTGTCTCTGGACTACTTGCCGCTGCTGCATTAGGATTGCTTCATAATGATTTAAATTTAACAGCTTTAGTTTTAAATGAACTTAAAATTTACGAAGATCATGAAGATTATAGACATCATATTGCATTGCTTTCTGCATATTTTTGCCTCATTCAAAACGATATTGATGATGCAATTCGCGTTGTTTCGAAATTTGTTCATAAACATCCAGGTAAGTTGCTAAAAAAAAGCAAATTTTCATTATATTTAATTAATTAAAATTTAGACAATTAATATTTGAAATATATCAACACAGGTGATGAGAGACTCTGGACAACATTAGCTCGATTTTTACTTGAAGTTGATGCAAAAGCATTTAGAAATTGTGCTCAAAAAGCATTAGTTTTAGGCAGACGGATCAATTCGCAACATATTGCTCAAATTGCCTGTCTTAAAGCTCTAAGTGATGTAATAAACTATTCTCATGAAAAAGATGGAATAAAATCTGCTCTGCAAGCTATTCATTCATTTCCAGCAAACGTTGAAAGCTGGTCTATTCTAATTGCTGCTCTATTGCCACGGTAAATTTAATAAAAAAAAAACATAATCACCTTATTTTTTTCCCTACAAATTCAATTTTTTTAAAAATATTGTTTTAGATGTGCAAGTAAAAATTCAAAACCAAGTGCTCATTGGTTAACAGTATTTTCTTCAGTTATTAGAAAAAGTGTACCACATGGAAAACATTCGGCAAAATGGCTTTTGCAAAATGAAGAAAAAGCAAGTTTAGTCGCAGATAAAGTTGCAAAAACTTATATTTAGTGATTGAAAAACGAAAGTTGTTATAATCTAAAGAAATAAAAAGAAGGTTAGTAATTTTCGATAAAGATTCAATTTAATAAAAACAAATTTATTTTATTACAATAATCCTTACAAATTAAAAATGACTATTTTTTTGAAAACATAATATTAATATAAATGCATTTTGAAATATTCTATTGAAATATGAAATATTTTTTTTCTCTCAATTTAATGTAATTATGTTTAAAAATTGCATACTACTTTAATTAAAAAAAAAAAAAAAAAAAAGTTAATAACTTAACGTCTGATTGAAAATCTTGAACGAGCCTTAAAATCTTTGTAATTTCGTCGGAAACCTTTTACTGTGTCATTTTCTGCTTTGTCAGTTCTATCCTTTTTCTCAATTGGTGAAAGTATTGAGTCCTCCAATGTCTAAGAAACAAAGTAATTTTCAATTAATTAATAAATTTACAATCACTGTGAAATAATGAATAAAATAATTGAATTATTTAAATTATTATTCAATAATATAATTAAAAAAAAGTTAAATACTCCGATCATTGAAAAAACACTTACCAAATCCTGAACAAGATTACGTGCTTTCATTTCATCTATTAGTTTTGCAATTTCTTCTTTTCCACTGGGATCTTCCTCGATAGCTTTTATCAAATGATCTATCTAAAGGAATAAAATTTATGAAAATCAATTATTAAATTTTACAGATTAAAAAAAGCAGAAAAATTGTTGAATTTTTAAGACGAACTTACGGGATCTTTAAAGAACGTTAATGGTTTGGCGTCAAATTTTTCATTTTGTAAACATTTTGATAAAAATTGAGAGATATCTGAAAATCTTTTAAGAGCTATGAGAGCTTCCAATTTAGTACATCTGAGATCAATATGCCGATATCGTGGAAAGTTCCACATAAATTCAAGGGCAAATTCAGGTTTTCCTTGCTTAATTGATAACATAGAGACTAAACATACAGTTTTGCGACTAGGATCATATCCTTTTCTATTCAGATCCGACCAAAGATTTATTGCATATTCAAAACTTTCTGGTGTATTCTAAAAATTAATTATATAATTAATTACTTTTTTTTTTCTTGTCGATTAAATTAATAATTTTAAGAAATAAAAAAATTTACCTCTTTAAAACAACTGGCTAATACTGTTACAACTGAATTATGTGGATGTACTAATTGTGCAGTACTTTTACTTTTAATTATATCATAAACTTCCCTTACTTCTGCATATTTATTGTGTTTATATAGAAGACATAATAAAATTTGATATGAAGTCAATTGATCAAAGAATCCATTCATTTTACTACTTTTGAACATTTCATATGCCAAATCTGGCATGTCTAAGTAATAATATGTTCTCATCACTACAGGACCAAAAACATAATTTCCAAATCTTAACTCATTATTTTGAGCACTATACTTTTCTAGCATCTTTGTCATAAGATTAATGTCTTCTGGATTATTATCAACAATATGTAACATTGCTTTTAAGTCCTCGGTAAATATTAAACTTTTGTTTTCATCATTTGTAAATTCATTCATTTTTGCACGAAAAGTTTCTGAAACTGTCTGAAATTGAGTGGCAATAGTTGCTCTAGAGTTAATATAGCTATCCATAGACAATGCTTCAGGACTGTAGATTGATCTAGTCACTAAAAAAAAAAAGAAATTTTATTTAAAATTGATTTCATCATAATAGATTCTAGACAATATTTAGGTATAATCAATAGTTCACTGCTTATTACTAGATTGTTTATTAAATTATCGCGACAGTAAATTATGAAATGTCTAAGCCATTCAGATTACGGTCTATAAAAAAATTTGTATAACAGAAGAAAAATTAAATTTTTGTAACTATTACAACTTACAACAATAAAATTAAATACCCCTCTTAAAATTTAAATTCAATTAAAGTTATGTCAATTTTAGATAAAAAAATTGTTCTTGAAAATTTTATATTTTTAGAAAGGTTGTGAAAAAGTAAAAGTGAGGTTAACAAGTGCTTTCTTACCATTATATGAAACTGGTGATAGGATATTAGCATTGAATAATTTGAAATTACTCCTTAAAAGACCCCTTAAGCTTATTGCCATTTTGTAATGTTTTAATAATCGTTTTTTTTTATTAAAAATTGATGAAATGAAATAACTTTTACAATTTCTATAGAAACGCGTTTCTCCTTTTTTGATGAAGAGAACGAAAACCACGTTGGGTAATGGTCACCAAAAATGCAGGAATGAGAAATTGAAACGGAATAGTAATTTACTTCCGGGCGGTATATTTAAAAAAAGAAGTGTTTTTTTTAGAAAAAAACTCTTTTTTCTTTATAGAATTAATTTAAGTTAGAATTAAAATGTTATTTATTGTTTAAAAAATAACAATCATTAAAATTTTTATGGTCAATATTTTTTTTCTACATATTTTTTTAATTTATGTAATATTTTTCTATATATACTTTTATAAATAAATATAATAAAATTTGGTCAATTTTTAAATAATTGCAAAAAAATTTACAATTATTCATATTGTTTCATATTTTATCCGTTGACAGCGCTAGCTATTAAAACAAAGTTCGTCATCTGTTGTCAATTCCTGGAATTTAGAAGGGAATTTTTTTTATAGAAGAAATGCGAGAATAAAGAAAGCATGGTGATACAATGTGATTTTCATACTTTTTTCATTTTACTGTGAATTACTTCTAAATTATTCGAATCTCCAAGTTTCCATTGTTCTTAATATTCAAATTAATTTATTGTTTCGACTCTTCTGAATTAAAGGTTAAAATTCCGGTTATTAGTGTTTTGAAATACAAAAATAAAAGTTGTCGAGTTAAAACGTGCTCTGTTTATCTGTATAAAAAGTTAAACATTTATTTTAACTTTTTTAAATACTTTAAAGTAAGTGATTATCGTAAAATTCATTTTATAATAATCTTAACAGCAGTCGTTTGCTAAACGTTAGCGACAACATTTATAATCAATGAGTTGTTGAAAATTTATATAGAAATATCAAAATGCCGGCTTAATTGCGTCATAATTTCCTCTGTAATATTTACAGTGATCAAATTTTTTGTTAAATTTATTAACATTTTCCAAAAAGACAGTGATTATTAGATTGGTGAGTATTATAATTTGAAGATTGTTGAAAATTTCTACATTCCATTCGAAATTATATTTTTGAATTTGCTTTTGTTTGCATTTATAATCTTATTTTGAAACTGAATACGATAACGTTAGAAATGTGGAGTGAAATATGTCTGCCCTCACTATAATAGCTCTTATTAAATTTTTTAAATGAATGAATTATTAAAATGATTTTTAAAATATGCAAAGAATCGTGGGAAAATTTTATTTAAATCCGAAAATTATTATTTTACTATTTATAAATAGTTTTTTTATTTGTTTTAATCTAGAAAAAAATGGAACCAACCAGTACTGTAGATTCTGAGGAATCAGGAAAAAAAATAAATAATATGTGCAACTTGTCTTGGTTAAAACATAATGCAAAATCATCACCAGAGTAAGTCTATATTGTAATTTGTAAAAAAAAAGTTTAATTTTTGATAAATTTCCATAATAATTTGAATTTTTTTTTCTCAATTTTAAATAGAATTCAAGATTTAAATGAAACACCAGAAACTTCGAAAAAAACAAAAAATGGAAAGAAACAAAAGCAAAAAAAATCGAAAACGGAATCCGCTCCATGTGTATCCAAGGATGTAAATTCAATAATTTCAGATGTTGACAATGAACAGAATTCCAAAAATCAAGAAAAACAAAAGTCAACAGTTTTGCCAATTACCGCGATAACAGTTGCAAATCCACCTACAGTTTGGAATTCAAATACTGATACAGCTGGTACTTTATTTCCTGATGCACAACTTCAACAAGTTGAACTCGAAGAGAGCCTTCAATTAAGTAAAGCATTGGAAGAGAGTATTATAACAGCTCAATTGGAAAAATTTAGATTAACACCTGAAAAGAATAAAATAAATTGGGCCGACGACTCTGAGGAACAAGGATGGTAATTAATTTTTAAAACTCGTAAAATTATAATAAATATTTTTCCATAATATTTTTTTTTTTTTTTTTAATTTGCAGGGGAGCTGTTGGTAAAAATTTACCAGAGCCATCCGACGTCACTAATAATAAAGAATGTGAAATAAAAATTGAAAAAAAGCCACACGACGATAACAACAATAGTAACAATAAATTGATTAATGAACAAAATGTGAAGAGAATTGATAAATATGGAAGAGTTGATGGTTATGCTGAACGACATCTTTTTATGGGTAGAGGAGCAAGAATACGAGAAGAACATTTTATTAATCAACACACCGATAGAAACATGGGTGAACGTAATCAAGATCAGAGAAATTTTCGTGAAAGAAATTTTAATTCATTCTCTAATAGAAATAGAAATTATAGGGATTTCAATGAGAAAAATTCATATGATCAAAGATATCAAATTGTTGAAAGAAATTCAAATGATAATAGATCTTCAAATTCAGATGATAAAAGAGAGTATAGAAATAAAAATTTTTATCCTTTCAATCAACGCGATAATCATTATCAATCTTATCGTCGTGATGATCAATTTCATCAACGGGATAATCATTTTCAACGTGAAAATCAATTTCATCATCAGCGCAATAATCAATTTTATCAGCGCGATAATCAATCTTATCATCGTGATAATCAATCTTATCAACGTGATACTCGTTCAAGATACAATTATCAAAGAAATGAAAATCACTCCTATGAAAATAATTCAAAAAGATATGGAAATTCACAAAAATACGATAATCAACATTCTGAATTTCAATATTCAAATAAAGATCAGAATTTAGAATTTTCTCAAGAGAAGGAATTGGAACCAATAAATGTTGACGAGGACAATAAAGAATCAACTCCGGAATTACAATCAAATGAAAATTCAATTCTTGAAAAAAATGATTCTGCAAAGGAAGAAATGGAAAAACCTATTGAACCAATAGAGATAAATACTTGCACGAGTAGTTCCACTTTAGATAATGAAAGTTCATCATTGGTTTTTATGCAAAAAAGTTTTAAAGACGATGATGACAGTGATAAAGATCACGCTTCTGAAACCTTATCAGAGAAAAGTGAAGATGATCCAATTGTATCAAGTAATCCATATTTGAATAACGTTCCACAAATACCGTTTCAAATGATTCATCAACCTGGAATTATAACAAATGAACAAGGCAATATGCAAATTTCCAATGAAATGGGCTTTAAATTAGTTGCAAATCCATTTATGACAATTCCAGTTTCCAATACATCGCAACAACATTTACCCACTGAAAGTGGATGTTCCCTTCCAATACAAAATTTAGACATGAGATTCTTTCAACATCCAGTTTTACATAATCCAGGAAATCCATATATTCCCATGATGAATTATCCAATGGGAATGCCAATTCATTCGTGTCAAATGTCTCAAGTACCAGTTGGAAATATCCAGGGAATCAATTACATGCATCAACAACCAATTAACTGCCAACAATGTCCGCCACATTTTTGTCCTTCACAACGAATGCCAATGCAAAATATAAATTGTCAAAATCCCATTTATCCAGCACAATTTGTCACTCCAATCACATCGGTTCCATTGCCAATGGCTCCAATCAGTCCCGAACAAATTCAATCCATACGACATCCACTTTCAGGAAAAATTTCTGAAAATATGACAACAACACCAGTTACAGAAATTGGCAAATCAGTGAGTAATCTCGTCACACTTTGTGAAAGTATTCCATCGCGAAGAATTGGATTATCAAATTGTCCACCAGGATTTGAAAATACAATTTATGCAAAGGAAATGCAAAAAAAAATTATCTACAACAAGGAACAAGAATTGCCAACATTTCGCAATAATTCAAAACAAATGTCTGCTCAACAAACATCAAAGAAGACTGAACAATTCACAGTTAAGAGTCTAAATAATATGTACCAACTAATTAGACATAAACAGGTTAATAATTCATTGAAAGAAGAAGAAGATAAATTACTTCATCAAAATAATACAATAAAATTCACCGAGGGTTCATATAATGAACGTCTTTTTTCATCTTATGAAGATAATAAAACAACAAAATTAAATACTCAAGCACCGAGACCAGGATTTCGAATTGGTGTTGGCCGTGGAAAAAAACTAGGTCCAACCACTTAGGTCAGGTACCATTTTTCTTTTTTATCATATATATATTTTTTTTGCATATAGAATATGAATTATTCAAAAAAAAAAAAAAAAAAAACAGCTGTGTTTAGATTTTAGTTTTGTTTCACCAATACATAGTCTTGTTTCTCAGGTCCAGGTGAAACTAGTTAAGACAATTTTTTTTATTTTTATATTTTTTTCACCTTTATCCTTATTTTTTTTTTTTTATAAAACAAAACTTGTGATTATTAGTTCTACTTTTTCTTTTTTTTTCTAGTTGTAATTACAACAATTATATTTCGAATAAGTAAAATACAAAAAAAAAGTAAATTCTCGAAAGAAACATATATATTTATTTTACATAAGTTTCTTTCGTGATTAAGCGGCAAATTAAAAGAAACAAGTTAATTCAATTGCTGCAGAGACAATTTTGTTTTCTTACATTTAAGTAGAGTTCAAAGAAATTAAAAGACTAAAAATTTTTATAAAGTACTTTTTATCTTGTCACTTATTACTATTTTTATATTAATAATAATAATAATAATAATTAATAATTCAGATACCTCTTAACGTGGCTATTTATATTTTTTTCTCTCACTTTTCCAAAGGATAATTAAAATTAAATTATTTGAAAGACTATTAATTGCTTTCAAGGAAATTCATTTTAAAAGGGAATCTTTAAATAAGAAAATTATGAAATTTAATTCTGGAAAATTATTTAAAAATCATATAATTATGAAATAATTTCAGCTAAATATTAATATTTTCAAAAACATTAAAATTTTGGTTTATTATAAAAAAAATTTTCAACGTTTTATGAATAAAAATATTATTAACGATCAAATTAAAATATTTTATAATCTCTTAAGAATCCCTGATATTATTTTCCAAATAAAAAGAAATGAGATTGAAACATTTCTTATGTGATAATTTATAAAAAAAAAAAAAAAAAAAAAATCATTTTTTTTATTTATTAATTTTTTTTTTAAATCTATTTGATTTCGAAATATTGGAAAATAAATAAAAATATAAATAGCTTCGTCCTGATTTGGAATGTGCCCTAAATTATAAAAAAGGGCAATAACTACTGTAAATATATATAAAAATGTATTTTCTGAACTTTCCAAAGAAAATGTTTAGAAAATCTTTATATTTAAGTATTTTTAGCACATTAATATAATATACACTGTTTACTTATAAATAGAGATTATAAAAAAAAGAAAACAGACAGAATTTAAAAAGTCAAGTGTATAAGTTTAAAAACTGCATTTCAAGTAAAAAAAAAAAAAAATGTAGCGTGCTAAATGAACTGATTATACTTATTTTCTTATAATATTGATGATTTTTGTTCTACTTACATTTATAAATCTAAAAAAAAAAGTATTATGTTTCTATAAAATAATATAAAAATATTAACATGGGGTTTTATTTTCCTCTCATAAAAAATATAATTTTAATTATAACATTAAATATTTATAAGAAATACTAATTATTATAATAATAATTGAATTATTCGAGAAAGATGAAAATTTATTTTTAACAAAAGTGTGAATTTGAAATAAAATCTGATTACATAAATAGTTTGTTTCGTAGAATTTTTCAAGGATAATCTTTCTCAATCAAGGGGAATCCTGGACAAATAGAATTTATATATATGACATACACACTGTTGAAAGAAAAAAAAAATTATTATCATCCCATAAATCAGAAAAAAAAATTGCCAGAATAATTAATTAGCCAAATTTCCTGTCTTGAGTAATTTTCTAGCTTCTAAATATAACAATATAATTGTTATGATATAATTCCATGTATGTTCTTATATAAGGTTCAAAAAAGATATAAATGAATTATTTTTTTTTATTAAACTTAAAATATTAATATTATTATTTAAAATAATTTATTCACAATTTTCTAATTATCGTCTTCGTAATAATTGAAAAGGAAAATATAATAATTGCATTAGCTATTTACAATAATAATCACTTCTTGGAAGAATATATATATATAAAATTATTCAATTTCTTTTTGCTATTTAAACCATGTATAATTGTGAGTTTCATTTAGTTACAGAAATATGTATATAATGTTGAATAGCTGTTTTTCTGCAAAAATTTAATGTTTTTACAGAAAACAGGAAAAAGATTGCCGATGATAAATAATTATTCCTCCGTTTATACAAAAATGAAGCTATTAAAAATTTCCTTTGAATGCCGTGGGGACTTACAATTGAAAATTATTTTATTTTTAAATCTATTAAATATTAAAAAAAAAGAAAAATTAAAAACCTTGAAACAAAAAATACAATATCTTCCCAAAAAAAAATTTTATTTTTGATTGACGAAAAAGAGATTGTAATTAGAAAGGGGATGATAATAAAAGTTAAATCAATTTGTTTAAACAGTCATTCACATGTGTTAATCATGTCGTCGATCAGAAGAATAAAGCGCAAGCGCAATGTCAATTTAAATTAACAAAGCTAACTTGAAGTTTGTAAAAACGAAATGTCTATACTTCAGTTAAAGGTGCGATCGCAGTTCTTCTCGTGACATTTAACATCAAGGACCAACAAAGTTGATTTTCAAGTTTAAAATCTTTTAATTTATCTGAAAAAACATTTATTTAAACAATTTTTTTTTATATTCAATTATTTTAATTACAATTACAAATGAATAATTAACAAAATGAAAATTAAATTATAATTGAAAAACAGGATTTTAAAATTCAAAAATGTTTTAATTTAATTTTTTTTATTTGGTCAAAAAATTGACATCCAAGATTTTTTATTTTATTTCAAAGTTTTCGAAACGAGGATAATTATTTCTTCAAACTTAAAGACGAAAGGTAAATCAATATTGTAATTTATTCTCTTTATACACATTTTATGTTTTCTAATTCTGATCTTGTTAATTTTTTCGCAGACTAATTTATTTCGCACGTGCAAGATAAAGTGAATGATAAATCAATGAGAGGAAGGAAAAAAATGATTTTTACCTAACAAATAAGAATTGTGTAATACAAATACAATTTTTAACTGTTCAGTAAATTTTTTTCAATGATGAGAAGAATTTTTTATATATCGATAGTTCATTGAAAATTGAAAATCTTTGAAGAAAGTGAATTTATTTAATTATCAGGAATTATATTAAACAATGCACATTATGTTTACAAACATTGACTTTTTATTAAGTAGTTAGCATTCAAACATTCATCATTATTATTGCAACAACACATAATTTTAATACAGGTATGCAATTGCTTCTTAACAAACTTTAATTACATTCCTTTTGATTAAACTTGAAATTAGAGACCTACAATTGACGCATATCAATATATAATTTTTTATTTTTTATATTATTACCTGTATTATTTTATTATATTATTATTTTTTAATTATAAAAATAATTCAAATTTTTTTATAAGATAGGATACACGCGACTTTGGGTTTAAAAGTATTGGGTTTAAGCGATTATTAATGTTAAAAAAAATATTTAAAAATCGAAAAATTATCTTTTATTTAAATTTATTTTCTAATTATTCTAATTGAATTTTATTAATTAGAATGATAATTTAATTGTATTAATTAAATGTCTTTTAAAGATGAAGTTAAAATTTTGTCTAAAAATTAATTTTTAGACGATAATTATGATAATTTAAAAAAATAACATTTTTCGTGATTATTTAGAGTCGAAAGAATTATAACACAAATATTTGAATGGCTAAATTACTTAATGTTAGCCGGAAATTAGATCTTATTTTGTTCAGTAACCGTGAAAACCTTCAATGAGAACATACTTTAATTTAAAAATCGAATTCGTTCATTTTTTTTACCAATATGTGTAAATATTGTTTTTTTTTGTTAAAATATAAAATTAATTATCAATTTAATTATAATTTATTAATTTGTTGATAATAAAAAAAATGTTATAATTTAATAATAATGTCAAATTATTTATTGATAAAATGTCATTTAAAAATTTACTAATTGGAATGAAATATTAACAACTTTTTTGTCGACTAATTAATGAAATATAATTTAAAAATATCTACGTGAGTAAAGAGAAAGTAATTTTATATTGCAGAAGAGTTGATTGACAGAAAAGGAAGGAGGTATTTGATTTGAAACATATTAAAAGAGGTAAAATTGGGGATGAAATTTGTGAATAAAATGAGAATGTCAGAACATAAAATAAAAGGAGATTGGACGGAATAATAAATTAAGTGGGTTTTGAAATTTAATTAACTAGTACATGCAAAAGTGTTTTTTTTTTGGTAAAATTTATATTATTAAGAATTTAATTTAAAAAAAAATTACAATTATAATAAAGTGAATTAATAAGATAAAATTATATATTTAAAAGAAGTTTTATTTTTTTTAAATAAAATTCCAGTGATTTAATAAAAAAAAATCCAATTGAATGGTTGTTTTTATAAATTCAAACTTAGAATTTAATGAACTGTAAAAATGAAGAATTTAAATTTACTGAAAGCTGCCAAAAAAAGGATTCCAATTGTAACTTGGCTACCAAAATATTCTTCTGATGATGCTCTCGGAGATCTTGTTGCTGGCTTAACAATTGGATTGACGTTAATTCCACAGGTAATATTTATCTCCGCTTGTGTAATAGTTAATAGTATAAACGTTTTATTTTTTTTAATAGTTTCTAAAAACGTTTAAAAGAAAATTAAAAAAGTAGAATGTAATTATTCTTTTACATATTCTTAAATTACAATTATTTTTTTTGCCTATAAACAAAAATTGTTTACAACTAATTAAATTGAAAAAAATTGTTATTCCAAATATAATAAAAAAGAAAAATTTGTCGAATATTTAATTACAATTTTTTAGTGGATAAATAAAAAATAAAATTTAAATGATTGATATTTAATATTAATAATGATAATTTTCTTAATAGGCAATAGCTTATGCTGGTTTAGCCGGTTTGGGACCACAATTTGGCTTGTACAGTGCATTCGCCGGAAGTTTCGTTTACATAATCTTTGGAACATGCCCTGAAGTGAATATTGGACCTACTGCCCTTATTTCATTATTAACGTTTACCTACGCGAGGTAAGATAATAATTTTTTTTTTTAAGAAAAAATCTAATTCACGTGAATTTCACGAGCTCTAATTTCATATATATATATATTGAGGTCGTTTCTATATATACAGTTGAGTTGCAATTAGAATTAATAGTCGTACAATGGATACGATGATATTTATTGCACGTACAAGCTTGAATTATTATTATCTGCGATTTCATTCATGCTTCATTTACTTGTAACTCTATTATCATTAAATTACCGGATGGATTTGATATACTTTCAATTTAAATATACAAAATTTGTATATTTAAATTGATACACAACTTTATTTGACTGTATTTATAATTTTCTTTTTCTAAAATAAAATTCTATATTTTTTTAATGTTTTAATTTAAAAATATAAATATTTATAAATATTAATAATTTGAAAATGATTTTTTCAGAGGAATTCCAGAATATGCTGGTCTTTTGTGTTTCCTCTCTGGATGTGTAACAATAATTCTTGGAGTGATGCGTTTAGGTTTCCTTGTGGAATTTGTATCGACGCCAGTTGTTTCTGGATTTACATCAGCTGCAAGTTTAATAATTGCTTGCAGTCAAATTAAAGGCCTATTGGGCTTAAAAATTCATGGCGAAAGTTTCATTGAAATTTGGAAAGAACTTTTTTATAAAATTGATCAAACACAAATTCCCGATTTGATACTTTCCTGTGGCTGTATTGTAATTCTTCTGAGTCTTAAAGTAAATTTTTTCTATCGTAAAATTTTGAACAAAATTTTCAATTTTAGAATAAATTATTTATTTATTTTTGCAGACAATCAAAGATATAAAGTCATCCAATAGATTTATCAGTAGACTAATTTGGTTCATAGGAACTGGAAGAAATGCATTAGTAGTGATTTTATGTGCGACAATTTCCTATATTTTTGAAAGTCGATCAAAAGCACCATTTATTCTCACGGGACATATTGATGCTGGATTGCCAAAAGTAGAACCACCTCAATTTTCTCATCAAAATGAAAATCAAACTATTGGCTTTTTAGAAATATGCAAAACATTTGGTTTTGGAATTATTGTCGTTCCATTAATTTCAATAATAGGAAATGTTGCAATAGCCAAAGCATTTTGTGAGTATTTTATTTTTGTTCTGTATTTTTGTGTATATTATTATTTTTATATTAAAAAAAAAAAAAAATTGATTATAAATTTTTAATTGAAAAGATTTAAATTTTTTGAACATATAGAAGAATGTGGTAAATAGAGAAAATAAATTAATAACAATCTAGGAAGAAAATCAGTAGCGGCTATTAAAGCATGACGCTTTTTTATTTTTTTTTTTCAAGCTCGAGGCAAGGCTTTAGACGCAACACAAGAAATGTTAACCTTGGGGCTTTGCAACTTGGTTGGATCCTTTTTTCATTCAATGCCTGTCACTGGCTCTTTTTCTCGAAGTGCAGTTAGTAATACTTCCGGGGTAAGAACTCCTTTAGGTGGATTATATACAGGTATTTTTTATCATCTATTTAATAAAATATTAAATTTAGCAAATATTTTAATAATTATGAAAAATTATGTAAAAAATTTTTCCCTTTTCATTATATAGGTATTTTAGTTATTTTAGCATTGAGTTTATTGACACCTTATTTTTATTATATTCCAAGAGCAACATTGAGCTCTGTTATTATTTGTGCTGTTATTTTTATGGTTGAGATTAAAATGTTCAAGTCTATATGGAAAAGTAGCAGTAAGTGAATTTAATTTTTATGTACTTTAATAAAAAAAAAAAATAGTTCTTTTCACTTTTATTTATTGCAGAAAGAGATTTAATTCCAGCATTAGTGACATTCTTATCTTGTCTATTCGCTGGAGTTGAATTGGGAATTATAATTGGAGTTATAATTGATATTGCAATTCTTATTTATTTTAACGCTAGGCCCACTATGTATATTGAATACAGAAACGTAAGTGAAGAGTAAGTTTTAAAATTTTCACAACAGTATTTTAAAAGAAAATTATTTCTTTTAGACCTTATCATCTCCTTACATTTTGGTAAGACCCAGTGCAGGTCTTATGTTTCCTGCAGTGGATTATTTAAGAACATACTTAACTGAATGTTTAAATGAAGATAAACGAAATGCAAAAAAAAATCAACTTAACATTGTACTCGATTGTTCGCATATCGATAGAATAGATTTTACAGCAATGCAGGTAATTTATTGATATTTGATTTAATTTTTTTTTTTTATTTTTTTCTAAAATGCATTCTTTCAGGGAATTAATTCAGTGGTAAGAGATTTAAAAGGCGTTGGAGGTCGACTAATATTGCTGAATCCAACAGATGAGATTTCAAAAAGTATTCAATCTCATGTTACTGAAACAATTTTAATTGCTTCTACAGATGTCGAACTAATTACAGTATTAAAACAAATTGATGATGAATTTTCTTTTAATATCGCAAATAGTGGAAAGTTTATTAAAAATATTAATGGTAAAACTATAATTAGGATTAATTCAAATGACACCAACACAAGTGTATAAAGTGTTTTAATTAATTAATTTGTAAATAATATTAAAAAAAAGAGTTCCTAATTTAATTACTATTGATAAAAAATATTTAACATACAAGAAACGAAAATTTCTTTTATAAATTATTCATTTAAATTTGAATTAAAATTTTTTAAATAATAGTTTTTGAATAATTGTTAGTTTATTTTGTTTGTTTGCATTTAATATAATATTTTTTAAATTATTTAAATTAAAGCCATAAAATACCTCAAAGTGTCATTAGAGTAAAAATATTGTGATAAAATAATTTTCAAATTTTATGTAACAGAAAAAATAAAGAAAATTTTATTTATAACATTTTTGGTAATTATAATTACTGAACTAAAATGTTTTTTTTTTTTTAAATTTTACGCGCCTCTTGGTACAACTGTAAATGCAGTTGGTATCACTGCAAAATTAGTTCGTTAAAAAAACGTCCGCAGTGCTGATGTTGATTTAAAGTCGTGTCACTGCAAAAACAAAATAATATGTTTTATTTATTTACTTAAAATACAATAATATGTATTCGTTTTCATTACACAATAAATCAAAATTAAATGTATTAGTGTAAAAAGTGTATGAAATTTCATGTGCCATTGAAGAGAATTTTATTTTGAAACGTGAAGACTGAATTTTTGAGGTTATACAGTGGTCCATTATGGCTGGATATACTAATCAAGATAATTATTGGTCTCAACCACAACAAAATCAATATAATTTTGAACCAACTGGTTTTGGACAACAAGATCAACAATTTGAATTTCAATCATACAGTGATCAACAAGCTGTGGATTATTCATATACGCAAAAGGGATTTCTCGATCCTACACAAAGTGCTTATGGAAATGATGTTTATGGTCAGGATAGTTTTACTAAAGGTATGTTTTTTAATTAAAATAATTTTTTTTTTTTTCATTAACAAGTTTAGTAATTAATTTTTTTTTGCAAAGGTCCAAATGATTTTACAGACGAGGAAAATGAACCACCACTTCTTGAAGAATTAGGAATAGATCCAGATAGAATTATTCAGAAAACTCTGGCCGTATTAAATCCATTTCATCGACGTGGACAAACTGATGATGCAAATTATCTTCTACAGGATTCGGATTTAGCTGGTCCAGTAGCTTTTTGCTTGATTCTTGCTGCTTTTCTATTATTAGCCGGATCAAAAGCACATTTTGGCTATGTTTATGGACTTGCAGTGACATCATGTCTTCTCATGTATATTCTTCAATCGCTAATGAGTAGCACTGGTAACATTACACTTTCATCAGTTGCATCAGTGTTAGGATATTGTATATTGCCTGTTGTTGGTTTAGCTGGAATTGCTATTTTTACAACACTTCGTGGTCCAATTGGTTTAATTCTTTCTGCAATGACAGTTGGATGGGCTTCACTTTCTGCATCGCGATTATTTTCAGCAATGTCCGGCGAGGATAAGCAACGTTTACTTATTGCTTATCCCTGTATCCTTTTGTATGGTGTTTTTACTTTGTTAGTCATATTTTAAATACGTCGTTATAATCGTCTTATTAAATATAATATTCAATTTTTCAAAATGAAAATTATTTTTTCATCTTATATTTGAGTTGAATTTGTTTTTTTGAATGTAAAATAATTGGAAAATTTTGTAAATCATCCTTTTTGGAATCAAGTGAATTATTTTTTGTGTACAGTCATTTTTGAAAAATAATAAAAAGATAAGGTCTTATTTTTGAATATTGAGTTTTTTTTTGAAAATTTAAATTATAATAATAATAATAAAACGCATGGAAAAACTATTAATTATTGTAAAAATGATATACAAAAAAAGGGGAAGAATAATTCTTTGTTTTTATATTTCCGGGAATAAATTCGCTATACATGCATGATCGTGAGGGAAATTATTACCGTCACACCTGAAAGTTTGTGATTGTGAAAAGGGGAGATATTAATATAGAGGGTTGTATGTGTACGATTGAGTCGGAGTGAGAAGGAAAGTGAATAAAGAAAAAGTATTTCTAGCGCTTGCGTATTCAGTGTATACCGTTGGTAACTAGACATTTTTGTCGAGAAAAAGATAAGGATAAACTTAGGGTGGAATATGAAGGGTAAAAAGAAAAAAATATATTTTTGTTTAAATTTTAAAACATTCACTTAATAAAATAAATATCAGAAAGAAAAGAGAGAATATTATTTCACTGAAAAGTGTACTTTTTTTAAAAAATATTTATTAAGCTTTAGATTTTTTATTACAAATATTTAATTAATAATGATAAATATTTATTCAATATTTTCCTTTTTTATTATTTATTTATTAAATTAACAATAATAATTTTATTATTAAAGTTCTAATTTCAAATATTTTTCGATTATATATCGAATCGAACCCAAATTTTAATTTCAAAAATTCCGCCATAAATTCGATATTTGCGATTTCAATTTGTCCACAAGTTAGGTTATATATTACTTTAATTTTCTTTTATTTGTTTAATATACAATTGAAAAAATAATATTTATTTTCAGTAATTACTTTAAACATTTTAGAAATTTATTTGATAATTCAAATTTATAGAATCGATTATCGATATTAATATCGTAATCGTAATTTTTTGTCAGTTGGCAGCACTGATCTAATAAACGGTTGGTGGGAAGAAAATTTTGAATTGCCATTTTTGAGTGTGTTATCGTCGGAACACGTCGGGAAAAAGAGTAGGTCGTAGGTCAAAGGACATTTTGAATGAAATACTGTGATATATAAGTAAAAAAAAAGTTGGAGAATAGTGAGTGTGTATGTGAATATGTGAGAAAAGTGGGAAGGAAGGTCTGCGCACAAGAAGAGAGAACAAGAGTGGGTGAGTTGAACCTGGTGAACGACAACGGTTAAGAGAAGGTTGCGGGGTAGTGGACCATCGAGCGATGATGGTTCAAGAGAGGGAGTGAAACGAAAGGGGTAGGGGAAGAGTCTGACCTGCTGGTAGTCTGGTTGATCCAGCACCAAGCAGTGTGCGTTGTGACGTGTGAGACAATGGCGGTATTGTTAATTGTGTTATGGTGTATTGTTGTGATCAGCTGATCGGCCTTCGGCAAGCATTGCTGTCAAAAGGGACGTCATTATCCACCCGACCCAATATCCTTATAAAATACATCAAGTGGACGGATGACCCGCCGATGTTGTCGTCGACCTGATTGACATCCCGCCTGACCCCCGCGTCCACCCCCGTGTGCACTGTCCCGTCATTATTCCAGTTTGCAAAGCGTATCCTTTGTCCTCCCTTATTATTAATCAGTATTCTTTTTTCGTTTTTTTTTTCTTCCTTTTTCGCGAGTGATTTCAAGATAATAATTTATAGTGGTGTGTGCGCGCGAGATTCGCAAGAAATAGATTTATAAATGTGTCTGGACCATGCCCGCGCGGAAATACTACAGACGAGATGTCAGCGAAGTTAGTTGCTTCCTCAAATACATGATCTTTGGATTTAATGTTTTATTTTGGGTAAGTTTTTCATTTAATTTTTTAGAAATTTACTTTGTTGCAAATTGTTTTGAATTCCTTTCATTGTAGCTTTAAAATATGTAACAAATTTAGAGCGGGAAAATTTCTGTTCATCTCTTTGCCTTTGTTTTGGAGTATATATATATATAAAAAATTGATATATCAAAATAGACTATTTGTCTGTTTACTCCAAAACAATTGCCAATCAATTGTATATTTAAGAGGAAATTCCTTTCGCATTGTTAAAATATTTTGGAAAATTGTTAATCAACAATTTATAGGTTAGGAATTTGATAAAAATTGCCTTTTTTAGAGTTATGAAAACAAAATATTTCCAAGTTTATCTATTTTATTAAGTTATATCTATATAGTAAGCTATTGAGAAATAATAATTAAGGTTCAATTTTGAATTCTGAAAATAATTTTATGGCAGAAATATTTATTTTATTTTCAAACAATTTTATTTTTTTATCTTGGAAAAAATTTTAGGTTATAAGTGAAAATTAATTTTTTAATTTGATTTTAAATTTAAATTATTGATACAATAGAACATTTTAAATGAAGATATGTCGTTTGGCAATTTTCCAAATTTTACATTTATCGCAAAATGAACTTATCAATATCCCAACATATACGCATATATATATAGTTAGAAAATAGTATTCCCGTTTAAACGATTGGCAGCTGACCAAATCAATTTCCGACGGGGGGCATGAAAGTCTTTTTGTTTATTTATGACCAATTCTTATGGTATTACACTCATTTTGTTCTTCAACTTGAATTAAATTTTCTTCAATTATTTTACATATAAGGCTACCTTCAAATTATCTTTGTGATTGAAAAAGATAATAGCTAAATTAAAATTTGTCAATTTTCTCTATGATTTATTACGAAGATCTTTCTCGTTAACAGAAGAAGTTTTATAATATTATTTTAAAAATGATAATATAAATTTATATTACAATTTATTTATAAATATAGAAAAAAAAATTTAATATAATAATGAGTGCGATTAAAATTATGATACAGCTTTTAGTGTAAAACTGTTTTTTTGGACATACTTTTTCATATATGTATATATATATAATTGAAAATTACGGTGATGGGTAATAGGTGTAATTTTCTCATAATACATATTGTATAAGACATAAACCACAAGGTATAAAAGTGGCATTGACCTTGAAAAGTTCTGATATTCTTCAATCTTTTCCATGAGGCTTTGAAATACACAAATTGTTGCATATAAATTATAGTTAAATTTTCCTTTGAATTTGAATATTATAATAATTTCAAATCAATGTTGAAATTAAAATAAAATTTAATTGAAAAATATTTTAATTAATTTAAACATTATAATAAAATTTGTAGGTACATAAAAATTTTTTTATTGGTCTATTGGTTTTATTTTAAATATAAATATATAAATAAAACGTTAAAAATTTCTGCAATTGACGTTTATATAAAAAAAGGTACAGTTCGCGGACAGTAAAACTAATAATGTAGTATCGTCAGATATTGAATAAGGAAGACATTCGTCTTGAAATTATAATGAGTTCATCTTTTCTATATATATATATATAGTGACTACCGTTATTATAATTCTCGCTTCACTCTTCTTTCAATTTATTATTGAAATATTATTTATTGTTATTATTATTCGTGATTTATTATTTAAAATATTATTTATAATAATATATTATAAATAATAATATTTATTAAATTTTTTTTTTTTCAAAAATAATTTTTGCTTTTTTAATAAAATGAAATAAAAAAAAAAGGCGAATGTAATTTGAAATTCTGAATGACTCAGTTATATATTTGAAACAGCCAATTATAATATTTATGATTATCATAATAATACTTTCATTTTTTACAATAAATCATTAATTTTTCTTTGAGAATATATTTAGGTGATTCATAAATCGAGTGGATGATGAGTAGTCGTTTTTTTTTATTCTTCTTTAGACACCACTAACTTTTTATATTGTCAGTCTGGTGAATTTTCATTTCTATATAATTCGATTAGGTTTTCTCGCTTCATAGAATCGAATCAATAACGCAACATTTTGGAGAAATTTGTTTGTCCTTTTTGTGAATTATTGTGATATATCTACCTGAATTGGTTTCATAAATAAGAAATCAATTTCTGAGAAATATTTTTTCACATTGTTCGATTCATTGGAGTATTTCTATTCATATATAATGCCATAATATGTCTATAGTGAATATTGGAATTTCTTAATGGAAGACGGAAGAAAGTCCTTGAATTTTACTCTTAATCCTGGAATCTAAAATAGTGTTTGTTCTTTTAAATCTATATCACATTCTGTTGGAAGAATATTTAGAAAATTTATATAAAAATGAAAAACTGATAAAATTATTCGGTACAGTATTTTTTGAAACAGTTTATAATTTCAATATTGCAAATTCATTAACTAATAATTATTTGCAATATCCTGACACTTAATATCTTTAATTGTTATCCAATAATATACAATCACTTAAAACCTTTCAAATTTCATTATTATATAGATATGAAACCAACATTATGAAGAATAGAATTTAATTTCAAATTTACAATAATAAATATGAATATTTTAATTAGCTCACATATATATTTAATTAGCAAATTCTGTGTTTAAAAATTATTTTAGAAATTACAAATAATTTTCATGGAATATTCATACAATTGATAAAAAAAACATTTTTTATGAAAAAGAAAAACGTAAAAAAAGTCTTTTGTTACAAAAAATAATTTGAAAATAATTTTTCTAAAAATAGGAAAAATTGTTTACAATATCTTTTATCTTTGCTCTACTGATTTTCAGTGACCCGTAAATTGAACAACTGTTCAAATCGATAAAATCTCACTGACTTTCAAATAAATTATTATTTTAATAATTGGAAAATGTGTGAACCGTTAATTTTTATACAAATTATACTTGTATATGTTTCCGGTTTTTTTTCTATTATGAAAATTATGAAAAAAAGTTTTGCTTTTATTAGAAATTTTTTTTTTTGTTCTTTTTGAATAAAAGAGAATATTTTTTTTTACAGTTAAATTCTAAATTTGCATCCGTCGGATGAGAGAAGGTTTAATTTAGTGGCATATAAATTATGCAGAATCTTGAACTAGTTACGTATTTATTGTTGCATATTCCTCAGAATGTATTTCTATGCACATGTGATTCTATGTATATATACACACGTCACGGTCTATATATCGCGTAAATTTATATATATATATTAAATGCCGATTGTTACTAAGTTACCAAAATTAAAAAATAGTTTTACTTAACCAAACCGGATATAAAAAAACAGTTATTATACGAAGCGCTATTCCAAGGAGTAATTTTACTTTCTGCACTATCGCCTGAATCCGGAAATGTTTCACGTTGTTTTGTATAATATAATATACAATTTTTGCGTCGCGTGACGTTCATTTAGCACACGATTACTCACTTTAATAATCATACAATTTTTTGTCTTTTACTCGACGATCCGCACAAGATTGTATATATATATAAGGAAGAAACCGTTTCGATCCCATTTTTCATCTATATATAATAAATTGAACGGTTTATGGTTGATTGAGTCTGCAAAAAAATTACACAACAACTTTCTTGTTTTGAAAAATAAATAATAGTCTATAATAATTTTTTTTTTTGCCAAAGAATTTATTAAAAAGATTAAAACAGTTTTTGGTATATTAAAAATATATTTATTATTATTATTATATTTATTGATATTAATTTTATTATTTAAGAAATTAAAAATTTTTTTTTTTAATATTATTAAAAAGAAAAGAAAAATTTTAAAAAGGGCTCCAAATTATCGAATATATGCGTGAATTGGGAAACTCTTTTTTTGCATTTAGCGAATTCCATACAATAAACGAATCAGTAATACGATACGCTTTCTAAACTTGCGTAACGATAGATCACGGTCGTTCTGTTTTATGACGTTGATTCAGTAGGATACGTAGGCGAGTTGAGAACAATGATTTACTCCGATTGCAATGGCACGTGATACGTCAGCCCACTAGATTAGATGCCATGTGGGCCTCACACAACAATTTAATTAAGTAAACAAGATCTAATCATTTTGAGAATAATACCACGAGAATTACTTCAATTGGATAATTAAATAATTGTCGAATTTTGGAGTAAAGATGATGATGATGATAATGATTTTGATAATGATATAATAATAACATAATAATAATGACAGTAATAATAATAATAATAATAATAATAATAATAATATATAAAATAAATTTTATTTTATTTAACCGCATTATAATTTTCACTGAAAAAAAAATTTATTTGATACAAATAATCGGTTACTTGAATATTATCAAATAAATATTTCCTTGAATCAAATATGTTTTAATTTGGGAATTATATTTTATTTTATTTCAAATATTTATTATTGGTTTAAATATAGAAATTATTTGTTTAAATCCAGTTTTATTTGATGCAAAAAAAAAATTATTTGATAAATAAATATTTATTTTAATAATAGTCAAGTAATCGATTATATTTAAGTCGAAGAAATCTTTTTTTTCAGTGTATAAAGAAATTCACAACTATGTTTAACAAGTTGTGTTAATAAAAATCATTAAATTAAGTGTTTAAAATTTTTTTTCTTTTTTTTTTTTTGAAGTACTTTTAAAACATAAACTACTTTCGTGAGTTAAGTATCTCTGCAGAGTGTTTTTGCATGTTGTAATTAGAAGCCAGTAAAATGTACTTTTCTAATTGAGTAAAAAAAAATTGTATCAAAAGACTTTTTAACGTTCTTCTCATATATTTATATTTATTAAAAACTTATTAACTTTTATTGTTTTCATTATACAATTGTATAAATTGTCTAACGAAATAAATTGTCTAACGAAATAAATTGTCCTGAAAAATATATTGCGACAATCTTCAAAAAATTAATTTATTAAAAATATATCAAATATTAAAAATTAATTAAAATATTAATAAATTATAATT